GAACAAAAAGACAGCAACTTGTCTGTTCCCCTTCCCCCAATTCCCCAGCGCTGTTCCCATCCCCCCAATTCTCCAATAAAAATCTTTAAAAAAAACCAAAAGATATCAATAACTAAGGGTCCTCAAAGAAACAACCCAGCCAGATGACTTTACAGTGAAGCCCTCCATTTAACACATCCCTTCACACGTGCTGAGTTTCCAACAGGCTTTTTGGTGCTCCACTTTTAAAAATGATTGAAGAGACAACTTCTGGCCTAGACAACATGGGATTCATTTCTCCCTGTTCCTCCATGTTAAGTAAAACTATACCTCACGGAAATAAACAAGAGACAATCAGAGGATGGTGGGGAAAGAATGACAAATTGGTGGGAGAACCTAAGAATGAAGGAACAACTCAGCATGGGGGTGTCTGACACCCCACACCCAACAGAAGATGACCCAGGCCTGGAGTTTCCTGACCTCAACCTAGCAACAGAATATAGCTCAGGTAGACGCATCCATCTGGGAAGTTGAACAGTCGTCCCTCCAACAACACCAGGCAAATCCAGCATCACCAACAAGGTGGGTTAATCAGGACCAGCCAGGGGAAACACTTGGCCTGAGACTCACCTCGTCTGTCAAGAGACACTGGGCATCTGGTCTGAGGAAACCTCTTCTGCTCTCTCCAGCAACAGAAGCAGGAACAAGTGAGAAATTAAATTATCATTGGAACCTCTGCCCACAAAAGTAGACCTGAACCTGAATGCTTAACCTAAACAAGGCAGCTGCTTGTTACAGAAAGAAAACCAAATAGAACCCAGAGTCTTCTAACATAGTAGCCACAATGTCCAGGATACAATAAAAAAAAAACCAAAATCACCCATCATCATAATAACCAGAAAAATCACAACTTGAACGTGGAAAGAATCAACTGATGCCAACACTGGCACGAATCAGATGTTGGGATGATCTTGCAGCAGCTCTCATAAAAATGCTTCCACGATAAATTACAAAGTCTGAAATGCATTTAAAAATTGGAACATCTCAGCAAAGAAATAGAAGTTATACAGAAGAACCAAGTGGAAATTATAGAACTGAAAAATAGGGTAACAGAAACAAAATCTTGCTGGGTGGCCTCAGTAGGAGAGGGGAGATGACAGGACGAAATCAGTGCACTTGAGGACAGATTCATAGAATATGCCCGATCTGAAGAACAGAGAGTGAAGAACAAAAAAAAAATGAATGGCCTCTCAGGCCCATGAGATAAGCACAAAAGAGCCAACATTTGTATCATCATAGTCCCAGAAGGAGAAGAGAAAGAGAGGGGTTAAAAACTTCCAAAATTTGGTAAAAGACATATGTTCAAAGAGCTGAGCAAACCCCAAACAGGATAAACCTGAAGAAATCCATGCCAACACATCATAATGAAACTTCCACAAACTAAAAACAGAGAAAAATATCTTGAAAGCAACCAGAGAGAAATGACAATATTATTAATACCTATAGGGGAACAGCAATTCAAATGATGGTGGATTTCTCATCAGAAACCATGGAGGCCAAAAGGATGTGGCATAACATTTTTCAGGAGCTGAACGACCTGAAAATGGTGAATCTTACATATGATGAAACTATCTTTTGGGAATCATGAGGAAATAATCCCAGGGAATCAATCAATCAATAAAAAATAAAATAAAATAAACAAAACAAAATAAAACCCAACCCTCCAGGAGCTAATAAATGAGTTCAGCAAAGTCAGAGATATAAGAAAAATACAGGTGATGAAAATGTTTTGGAACTAGATAGAGGTGGTGGTTATACAACACTGTCAATGCACCAAATGTCACTAAAGTGTATTTTAATGTTATTAACATTCACTTTAAAATGGTTAATTGTATGTAATGTGGATTTCACCTCAATAGAAAATGGAAAAAAAGTAAGTGGGCGACTAGAGCAACTTCAATACAGGACCACCAGGGGCTCCTATCCTTCAAGACTGCAGGTAAGAGGCACCCGCCAGGTGAGTTCCTGTGATCTTCCTGGATGCTGGCTGAGGGCAGGAGAGCGTCAAAGGCGAGAGCAGGAAGTCATCAGCACCACCTTGGCCCCACCACCAGTGGCTGAATAGGGATGGGAGCATCTGCCTGTCCTCTTTCTTGCTGGGTAAGATATATGCATACATTCTATTGTAACTAGCTCTCTCTCCCCCTCCCATTCCCCTTCTATTTTGTAAAGGGTCTGGTTGGTGATGGTTATATTTACAGTCCAGTCCGTATATGTCAGAACACAAAAAGGGATCACAGCTGAGCTGGACGAGAGTAACTACCACTGCAGATCCTGGATTGGGGGCTGTACGCAGTCTGTGATGAGAAATGATACTGTCCCCTTTGGGAAGTGGATGAACACATTTTTATTTGTATGAGGCAAGCTGTCAAGAGTATTTTGTTGTGCTGGTTGTATGGAAGAGGGTGCATGTTGCTAATGGGCAGTGAAGGGCTAGACTGGTATATGTATTGGTTAACACTTTGTGGCCACTGAACACATCCGGATAGCCTTTTTCTGACTGTGAGTCCCACCTGCCCAAAGTAGAAAACAGAACTCACTTTCCCAGCCTCCTTTGCACCTAGGGTATAAATGTGTGACCTAGATCTGACAATTAGAGACACCCATGCAAGCAAGACTGATTCAGAGGAGAAGAAGCAAGGAAGCAGGCACCATGCAGACTCCAGGATTTTGTGAGGGTGGCAGAGAGAGTGATTAGTTTTGGGGTAGGGGGATGGGGTGGGGGGGGGAGGGGGAGAGAAGCAGTAGAGACAGCCCTTAGCATGATTAGTTCCCAGCTGGGGTGGCAGTCACACCTCCCCTGGGGCAAGTCCTACAGAGTGGTTTGGGTTTGTTCCCTGAGTCACTCCATAGCCTGAGTCTCTGGTTCTCCTGGAGATTTAATTATCACCTTCTCATTAAATTGTTTTCTGCTTAAATTAGCTAGAAGGGTTTCTGTTGTTTGCAACCAGTAGCCGTGGTTCAACATTCATGGCCGTGGTCTCCTGAAAGCCACTGTATGCCCAGCTCTGCTGACTGGAGGGGACACAGGGGAGCAGAATGTGGGGAAGTAGCATTGTTCAGTGGCTTTGGAATCAGACTTGAATTTGAATCCTGCCTCCAACACTTTCTGGCTTGTGTACAAGTTACCTCTCTGAATTGCCATTTCCTTAGGTCCCCAGCCACCTCAGAAGGTTGTTGGGTGAGGAGTGACTGTCGAGCAGTCCCAGCACGAGAGCTGTGGTAAGAGAGAGGTGCCAGAAGGTCAAAGCAGCCTGGAATTCTGAACTACCACATGCAGAATGGCTGCCCTGGAGCCTCACTCAGAGCCAGTGGTGCTGAGCCACTGAGGTTTGGAGGTGGTTTGTTACTGCAGCAGAACACATCTTCTCCTGACTTATTCACCGGTCATGGCTCTAGAAAGCCACATATTCAGGAGGCAGGTCCGAGGGCCCTGCTAAACCAGGGGTATGTCACTTCCTCATCTCACTGGCCCCTACTATGTGTTAGAAGGAAGCGAAGTCCAACTTTCTCCGGCAGGCCAGCACTGCTCTCACCCCTGCTCCAGGTCAGGAGCTGTTTGATCCCAAAGAGCAAAACTGGGGAGAGTGAGTGCTCCAGAGATGCCATCCATGGCCCATAGCCACCCAGCGGCCTCTGCCTCCTGGCCGAGCATGGCATGTACCCAAGACTCTCTGGAGGGTGAACTTGGAAACACAGATGACCCCTGAATAATGCAGGTTGAACTGCGCAGGTTCACTTATATGCAGATTTTTTTCAGTAAATACGTATAGTACTATAAATGTATTTTCTCTTCTTTATAATTTTCTTAATGATACTTTTTTGTAGCTTATTTTATTGTAAGAATACAGTATATAATACATATATAAAAATATGTGTTCATCGACTATGTTAGCTTCCTATCAACAGCAGGCTATTGGTAGTTAAGTTTAGGGGGAGTCAAAAGCTATACGTGAAGTTTCATGGGGTTTGGCATCCCTAACCCCCAACGTTGTTCAAGGGTCAACTGGACTTTGAGAATGAGGGAGGCGGGGGTGGGGCTGCAGGAAAAGGATGTTTAGAGAGGTGTCAACAAGCACATGGATAGCAAGAGTGAAGAGAGCAGACACGGGAGAAGCAAAATCCCCACCAGGAGGGAGCAGGCAGGCCCCTGGGTCTGTCAGCCAGCCTTTTTCTTAGGGTGCCCTGAGTGAGCCCCTGTGCCTCTCAGTCAAGGAAAGTGGGGCCGTGTGGAAAGGCAATGTCCAATCCTGGGAACCTGCGCCTGCACTCTGGCTGGTTGATGAATCCACCACCAGCCTCCTGTCCCCCTCCTCGTCAGACCCCTCCCCCTATATCCAGAACTAAGTGCCACAAACACAGGGACCTCATTCACCACGTAGCCCCCCGGCCTAGAGTTCCACTTGGCGCAGAGCCAGTGCTCTGTGTTCCCTGTGAGAGCCACCTGCGTCTTCCTCAGAGGCCACTACCTGTCTTCCACCTGAGCTGCTGTCCTCCCAGGCACCCGTGTCGGCATCTCTGATACCTGGCTCCTTCAGACTTGCCCTACCTGCCAAGGGAGAGATGAGCCCATCCTGCCGCTGCAGCACCCCCAGTGCTGGGCACTTGAACTACAGGGAGCGGCTCCTGTGGCAATACGCCTGGTGCTCACAGAAAACCACAGCTGCAGGGGCCCTGGCCGCCTGTGACACTGCCTTTGGGGCTTCAGCCTCAGTAGCCCCTCTGCACTCCACCCAGGACCCCAGCACCAGTTTGGGGGTGTATCTGTGCCTGCCTCAGCTCATGACTCTGGGTGTTCCCCGAAGCCCAGCCCATCCTTAAGGGGGGAGGGGGCGGTCCACAGATGCCCCAGGGCACCGTGTCCATGTGGTCTGCAGCCAGGCTGCCGGGTTCCTTGTTCTGGTCCAAGTCTTACCAGCCAATCAAGGCAGCCCGGAAGAAAAGAAGAGGCAGGGCCAAGGAGCAGTTGTACTGACTTTATTCCCCTCACTCCTCTCGCTCCGCCGCCTGCTGTCCCCCACACACTCTGCAGCTGTGGGGTGGGCACGTAGGACCAGACATCAGGGGTCCACAGGCCTGGGCACGGCCGTTCTGCCATCACTGTGCGGGGCACTGTGGCAGCATGCTCGTGTCGGAGCCTCAGGCTCTGAGCCCAGCCCTGACTTCCAGAACTGTGGTCACGGGGCTTGAGGCCCACCTCATCTCTGGCCCCTTCCCCGCAGCTGGCCCTAGACCAGGGAGCCCAAGGAGAGCTGGCCCAGGTTCCGGACCTGAGGTCTGGCCAGCGAGACAGAGGGACCCCCCTATAGCTGAACTCCAGCAGGAGTTGATGATCCTAAGCCCCCGCCCCGCCACTACCGCCAGCCCTGGGAAATGGGTGTGATGCCCCAGTCCCCTCACTCCAATATCCAGGTGCTTGTTAATTTGTCTTTAAAATAAAAAGGAAATGGAAAAGCTGGTAAAACAAGAACCCCATCTATACTGGCACTGCTGAGGTTCCATTATTGCTTCAGACCCTCATGGTCTGGCTGGAAAGGAGCTCCCACCCACAGTGGCCCAAGGGGAAGAGAGCGTTTAGCACCAGGGACACAGGGCTCCTGTCCCCACTGGGATGGGGCCTCCCAGGAAAGCGCTTGGCTGTGCCCAACTACAGCTACCAGACCGTCTTGACCAGAGCCCAGCCTACTGTCAGGACCCCTCTCCTGCTCTCAGAGGGGAGGTGCCAAAGAACAGGAAACCCAAGTCCCAGGACAGGGCTTTCTGATCAGCTCCCTCACACTCCTCTCCAGCCTCTGCTTGTCTGGCCTGATAGACCAGGGGCCCAGCCTGGCCAGGGCCCCCAGGCTTACTAAGGCTTCAGTGGGGCTAGCAGGTGACAAGGCCACCAGCCCCTATCGGAGACCCTGGTGTCAATAGCAGGGGTTTGAGGAACCCATTGGAGTCACGACCTAGAGACCATTGGGGGAGATCAACTTTTTGGGGGAAAATATGAGCCAGCTATGAAGAGCTGCCAGGCACTGGGACCAGAGGTTAGAAATAGCAGGGGGGAGCGGGGGACCCTGAGGACATCATGGAAGCCCAGAAATAAGGAATGCGGGAGAGGAAAAGAGCTCTAGCAAAGCAGGGGCCTGGGAGGACCAGCCTTGGGGTGGGGAGCCACAGAAAGCCTTCCTCTCAGGGAGGGGCCCACCTTCTCTCCCCAGAGGACAGACAGCAAGGGCACCTGAGGGTGCCTCTGTGAGCTCTGGGTCCTACTGCAGCCCCAAACTCAACTGGGCCGGGGAACTGCCCCCTATGCCCAGAGAGAGATCAGGCAGTGTGGCTTGGGTTATAGACCCTCAAATCACTTGGGCTCCTTGGGCCTGCCCACATCTGTACAGAATAAAGTGCTTCGTTTATTGATGATTAAAATGTGCCCAGCCCCCTGCCCCAGTGCCATGGGCCTACAAGGGGGTCAGAGGAGTTCTGAACCCCTCAGCCCTTGGGCTGATGGGGCCCAGTCCCCCCATTGTCCCCCTCGGGCTCAGGCCTCTTCCCACTCCAGCCATGCTGGGGAGGTGGTGGTATTGGGGGGCAGTCACGGGGGTTTAAGGTGCAAAGAGTATAACAAACAAAACTGTATAAACACAACAGGAAAGAGCTTACCTAGGAAACATGTAGCTTATGGAACCTTCCTCACCATTTTAAAGGTAGGAATCAAGATGTTAAATGACAACAAAAAAGGGTGTCCTATTAATGCTGTGCTGGCCTCATGGGGGCAAGCACTGGGCACAGGCTGGGGCTCCCCCAGGACCCTGCCCTGGGCCCCAGGGCCTGAACATGCAGGCACCCCACTGCCAGTGCAGAGGCCCAGGAGAGGAAAGGATGCTGGACACCAGCCAGGGGCAGGCTGTGGCGGGGCCTCGGGGAGGAAGAGGCTGGCACTGCCTTCCGGGAGCAGAGACGGACACAGACACACACGTCTCCTCTAGCATGGGAGACATGGCCAGGGCAGCTGGTGAGGGGCAGCCCTGCCCCCTGCCCCACTGATAGCACCTTGAAACCTTAAAACATTTGCCCAAGCCTCCTCCTTAGGGCACTGCTCCTGGGGTCCACCCATCTGCAGGGGCTCCTTGACTGTAGCCCCCGGGAGCCGGTGGTGCAGGAGCCCTTCCGTCTGCCCACCCGGGGCCTGCCCACAGCACGAGGCCCGGGGACCTCAGTGCAGCCTGGTGTGGGTTGGGGATCTCTGTGAATGTTGGCAGGGCTATGGGTGGGGAAAGCAAATGCCTGGGGTCCAGCCCCTGCCTGCCCCACTCCACACGGTGCAGAGCTGGGTCCGCAGTCTTCACACCTTGCCACTCCCCGTCCTACACGCTCATGGGCATCTGGTCTCAAGCCCCTGCCTCGGTGTCCACAGCCCTCGGACTGGGTCCACAGCTCCTCCAAAGGGGGCTGGCATCTCAACTTCTCCCCACACCTTCCAGGATGAGGGGGCAAGTTAGGGAGCACAGGGGAGGTGCAGATGAGCCGCTGAACTGACCCAGGCTCGGCCTGGACAACCCCTCCTGCTCAAGCCTCAGCAGAGTGACCAGTCACACCTGCTATGCAGGCCCTTCTTCCACTGTACCTGCTGCCTCCAGCACCCTCCTCACCTGGAGGAGGGTGCTGCCAATAGTTTCCTCTTTCTTTTTTCCTTCACTTCCAAAAAAAAAAAAAAAAAGTAAAGGCTTCAAGGAGTCACTGAAAGGGGGGCACTTGGGAGTGAGGTGTCCTCCACCAGCTCGGGGGCGCAGCCAGCCTGCACCCCCACCAGGGGCAGGGGTCTGAAGCAGAGCGTGTCCAGACATCTCTGGATGCGGGGGCAGCGGTGCCAGGCCAGTGTTGCTGCCCTCTCACAAGGAGGGGAGGGCAGTGGGATCGCTCCTGGGTGGCCCCTGGGCTCCAGGTCCTGCGTGTGCAGTTGGGGGTTAGTTGTTGGCGGTCATCCTCCCGCCGCTGTTGGCAGTGGTGGGGAAGAGCGGGGGCGGGGGCGGCAGGTGGGGCGGGGGCGGCATGGTCTGGGGCAGCCCCGCCAGCAGTGGCAGTGCGGGCGCCTGAGGCTGGGCAGGGGGCAGGCCTGGGGCGGAGGGAGCGCCGTCGCCGGCCAGAGGGTGGCTGACGCGGAAGCATTTCTCCTTGTGGGCTTTGAGCATGTTGGAGAAGCGGAAGCGCTGGCCGCAGACGTCACAGGGGTACGGCTTCTCGCCCGTGTGCGTGCGCCGGTGCCGCTTCATGTTGGGCCGGCTGGTGAAGCTCTTCCCGCAGATCTCACAGATGTACGGCTTCTCCCCTGGGGGTTGGCGGTGGGCAGCAGGGTGTCACTGGGGGTTTGCCACACCCTAGCCCAAGGCCAGCCTCCCTGCGCCCATGGAACCACAGTGGGGCTCAGCCCTGACATCCTGGGATCCTGCCCATCCTGGGCCACTTTGTACCAGCCTCAGGGACCTTGGGAGGCAGGGAAGACGGCCGGGGCCTCATAGAGAAGGGGTGCAGCCATCCCAGGCATCCTGAGCAGGGCTGAGAAGGGGTCCCAGGCCTGGTTTGGAGCCCCACCTCGGGGCAGCCGTACCTGTGTGGGTCTTCATGTGCTCATCAAAGTACTGCTTCATGTTGAAGTCCTTGCCACACCACTGGCACATGAACTGCTTATGGCCAATGTGGATGCTCATGTGTGACCGCAGTTGGTACTTGTACTGGAAGCGCTCGTTGCAGTTCTAAGTGGGGGGGAGCAGCCTTCAGGGAGGGAAGCGCTTACCCAAGACCGTGATTGCAGGGAGGACACACACCTGGAGGGGCTCCTGGGGTGGGCAGAGGTGAGGAGGCCATGGGCATGCAGGGCCCAGGCAGGAATGGGGGCCAGGAAGTGGGGGAAGGTGACAGAGTGGAGGGAGGCCTCATGCTTAAAACCAAGGGCTCCCCCAAACTTTCTCTCTAGGACGGCCCCCTTGTCACCATCTGCAGCTCCATTTCTCATCTCTCTGCCCGAGATGCTCCTCTGTCCACCTTTCCAGAAAGCCTGCACCATGGTTCCAGCCCAGGGAGGCTTCCCACCCTGAATGTGTGCAGGTTGGGTTAGGGGTGGGGTGGCAGAGTAGGGTGGTGGGGGGCAGGCCGGTGGGCAAACAGAGGAGGATAGAGTGGGAGGCCAGGGCCACAGATACCAGAGCCCTGTACCCCACTTCCCCCACCCCTGGTTTTTAAACAGCTGCTGCCCCTGATCCTGCCCCATCCTGGGTGGCCCCTGGGGCAGGGGGAGAAGGGAACTCACCTCGCATCGGAACGGCTTCTCCCCGGAGTGCTGCAGCGAGTGCACCTTGAGAGACATGCTGCGTTTGAAGGACTTCCCGCAGGTCTCGCAGGTGAAGGGCATGTCCTTGGTGTGGGCTATGAGGCGGGCACCATGGCCGTCACAGCTCTGGGGGACCCCACCTGCCCTGGGGCCTGCCTCACAGCCTCTGTCCCAGGACTTGGGGCTGTCTCCCAGGCACGCCCCCTTCCCTGTGGGCTCTGAAGTCTGCTCAGACAAGTGTGGAGGTCCTTCTCTAGCCTTTGGCCAAAGGAAATAGCCAAGGCCACCTCACCCCCAAAGCTTTGGGGGAAAATGGAAGTATCCCAATGGGACTGGCCTCGGCTCAAATCCTGGCCCAGCCACCGGCTCCCTGCACAGCCTCTGTGGGCCCAGCATCCTCTTCTACAAAGGATGCTAGCGGTGGCACTGCACCTCCGTGGTGGCTGGGGCTTTACAGGGGATGACACTTGCAACATTTAGCTCCAGTTCCCCCAGAACCTGTGGACAGGTGAGGTGGAAGAGCTGGGAGGAAGCAACTGGAGACAGGGGGAGCCCCCTCAGAACGCAGGGCTAGGGAACCTGAGCCCAGGAAAGGGCCACCAATCCTGGGTTACCCAGTATCTCCTGGCTGAGATCCAGACCCTGGGGTCCCAGATCCCAGTCAGTTCACGCTGGAGGCCCCCAGCACTGTCTGGTGGAGAAAGGCGGTAAGGCCCCTGTTAGCCACCTGTCCCTTGAGCCCCAGTCCCTGAGCAGGCAAGGAAGCGAGGGCTGCAGAGACACCAGCCTCCCAGCCACGCCCAAGGAAGAGGTGTGGCCCAACACACACTTGTGGGGCCACTTTACTATGTTGAGGTGTGACCCTGGGGGGGAAGGGTTGCATTCAGAGAAGCCTGAAGCCCTGTGAGGGCCCGATGGCACAGCTGACCTCAAACTGAGATACAACCTGTGCCAGCTGGATTCTGGTCCCCACCTGACAGGAGCCCTTGTGCAGTGTGCAACCTGCCCAACTGAACATGGCAGCCCTGACCCCAGAGCCTGTTCAGGCCACATCTGCCACTGCAACCAGCCTCCCCAGGCCTCCCCACTAAGAGGGGCTTTTCTCATCCCTTCACATTGCCCTTGGGTGTGAAGTCCTTCCCAGCACACCCAGCAGCCGGCCCAGCTCTGTCCTCAGGCTCCATCCCTCACTGGCCTAGACTTACCAACCATGTGCTTGCGCACGTGGGCCATGGTGTAGAACTTCTTCTCGCAGATCTCACACGAGAACTTCTTCTCTGCGTAGCCGTGCACAATCTTGTTATGCTCGTGGAGGGACCAGAGCTTCTTAAAAGCTTTGCCGCATGTCACACACTACAGGGTGAGAGGACTTTAGGCCCTGGGTACGGAGTCAGGACCATGTGACAAAGGACCAGTCCCTTCCCCTCTCTGGGCCTCAGTTTCCTCACCTGAATTGTGCTGGAAAGAGCCTTTGGTGACCAGGGACCAGCCGGATCTGATGAGTTGGAGATGGTACCTCCCTAAACACTTATCCACCCACCACCCTCGGCTATAGCCTGGACCCTCCTTTGTCCTTGAACTTAACTAGGGCAAGGGGTCACCTCTTCCAGGAAGCCTCTCCTCTGTGCTCATTTGAACAAGGCGTCTGTCTATAGAGGGGAGACTCACAACTGGCTGAAGGGCCACAGTGCACAGTGGGTGTGAACAAGCCCCTCTCAGATAACAGGTCAGGACAGAGTTGGAGCATTATCTCTGCTGCCTCCCCCTGCTGGGACTCACACCCTGACACCATGGAGAGCCCCAAAGAGATCGGTCCCAAAGGGCTGGCTGGGGGGAAGAGGGCAGTCAAGAGGTACCAGGTCCCACCAGGTAAGGCAGGGTGGTGGGAACCTTGGGGCCACGCTCCCTTCCTCCTTTTCTCCTGGGCTCTCGTCCTGCCCATCTCTGCAGGACACCCCCAGAGGCCTGGGGACAAGGCCAGGGCTCAGGCAGAAATTGGGTCAGGTTGCCCAGGTCAGAAGGGGCACAAGTGTCTTCCCCATCAGGAGGGAGGCTCTGGTGTGTGGCAGGTAGAGAATCAAAGGGCAGCCCAGCAGGCAGGCAAGTGGGAACAAATACACAAAGGTGGAGCAGGAGACCAGGTAACTACCCCCAGGTAACACTTTCTCCACAGGGCACTGCAATTAGCAATTAGCTCAGACAATTAGCATCCGCCTACCTGCTGCCCCCCCACCCCTGCCGGAAAGTTCAAGCCAGCCTGGCTGGCCCTGTGCTGCCCATGCCCTGAGAGGCCACGCTGGCACAGAGTCAGGCTGGCCCGAGGCCTGGCAGCCAGCGCGGCTCCCTGCTTGGTCCCAGCAGCCCCTGCTCTTCCCAAATTTTTGCTCCAATCCCTCTACCCCAAGCCCAGGCCAGCTGGCATCTCCAAAGAGCTGAAAGCAAGGACTTCCTCCTGCCCAGCTGCCCCTTGCTCTACTCGGTCTTGGTGGCACGTGGCAAGTGGCGCACCCCTCTGGGCAAACCCCTCCTCTCTTCATCTGTGCTTCTGTGCACTGCGTGATCCGTGAAACTGCACACGGTGACCCTGCTGGCCTTCTGACAGCCCTCAGGATTTGCTACAACACTGACTCCTCTCTCCTCAGAGCTGGTTGTCCCCCGCTCTCATGTGCTCAGTCAACTCTCTCCTCTCTTGCTCCCAGGTTCATACTCCTTTGCCCCTCTGGCCAAGGTTACTGTTGGTCTCAATCCTATCTGCACATCTGTCCACGTGTCAAAGCTCAGTGCTATCCGCCTCCTCCATGAAGCTCTCCTTCATGTTCTCACCAACCTGGGCCCTACCCTCTTGGCTCACCCTGGTCAGGGGGCTGGTCCCACTGTTCAGGGGGCTAAGTCTGGTCTCCCCAGGCTGTCTGGACAATGCCAGCAGCAGGACCCTGGGTGCCCAGGGCCCCGTTCTGGCCTGTCGCAGCCTGGCTGGCTGTGTGGCCCCAGCTGGCCCTCTGCCCTGTCCTGCCCACCCACACCATGCAGCCACTCGGAGGCCCACCTGGATGTTGCGTTCACAGTCTGTCTGCCGGTGCAACAGCAGCTCACTCTCCAGCAGGAAGCGCTTGCCACACTGGTCACAGATCTGCATGCGGCTGTGGGTCACATTCATGTGTTTCTCCAGGTACCAGCGGTTGTTGAACACGCGCGGGCACTTCTGGCACGGGTGGTGCTGCTTCTCCTCCAGCTTCACCTTGGCCCCCAACCCGTCAGTGGCCTGTGGGCCTCGGGCCGGTGCTGAGGCCGGGGCCACTCCTGGGGGCGGCTTTGACCGCTTCCCACCGCGCTGTCCGGTCTCCTCAGGCTCGGGGAGGGCCCGGCGCCGGGACCGCGTGGCCATGCGGCTGTGGGGAGGGGGCTCGGCCCGGCTGCCCCGACGTCCTGCTGGCCCCTGCCTGCCCCCTGCCTCCCCCTCCTCCTCCTCTTCCTCCTCCTCCTCCTCTGAGCTCTCTTGATCCTGCTCGCTGTGTCCTTCCTCTTCTTCCTCCTCCTCCTCCTCCTGCTCGCTGTGCCCTTCCTCCTCCTCCTCCTCCTCCTCCCCTCCACTGCCACCACCCTCCTCCTCCTCCCCTTCCTCTTCTTCCTCCTCCTCCTCCTCCTCCTCCTCCTCCTCTTCCTCTGCCTGACTGCCGCCTTCCTCTTCCTCCTCCTCCTCCTCCTCCTCCCCTCCACTGCCACCACCCTCCTCCTCCTCCCCTTCCTCTTCTTCCTCCTCCTCCTCCTCCTCCTCGTCCTCCGTGTGCCTTTGCAGCCCGTCTTCCCGGCCCAGCACCATGGTGGCCGGGCCCGCGGCAGCACCCGGCTTCCCCTCGGGCCCCGTGGACACGTGCAGTGTCTGGTTGTTGAGGTTCACCTCCACGATGATCTGGGACTGCTCCCGGCGGCTGTAGGTGCCAGAACCCCCAAGCTCCTCCTCCAAGTCCTCCCCACCCTCTAGCTTGCACAGGCCAGCCGGGTGCCCGCCTGCCTCCTCGACGACACCCTCCTTCTCCTCCTTGAAGAAGGGCTGAGCCGGCCCAAGGGCGGCAGGTGCCGTGCCACCTGTGGTCCCTGCCCCGTCCTCAACACGCACGGAGTAGGGGTCAGGGCCCTCGCGGGCGTAGATCTTGGGCAGGCCTGGGGCGTCGGCCTCCTGCTTGATGTCGCAGTAGTAGGGGGGTGCAGCCGGTGGTGTGCAGCTGGCAGCCGGCTGGGCCAGGGCCACAGCGCCAGCGGGGCCCGGGGGGCCGAGGGAGCGGGCGTCCAGCAGCTCCTGGCAGGACGCGGCGATGTCAGCCATCTGTAGCAGCGAGGCGGCACTGAGCACCTCGTGGACGTTGGCCGCGTTGACCAGCAGCTTGGACGTGTAGATGAAGTTAAGGATCTGCTGCAGGCCGCCGGGTGCCAGCGCCTCCAGGGACAGCTCCACGCGCTGCAGCTGCTTGTTCTGGGTGAAGAGCGAGTGAAAGAACTGGCTGTAGGCGGCCAGCACGCCCTTGTGAGCCGGGAAGACGCTGCGCTGGGGCACCAGCACCAGGTCCACGTCGCAGAGGTCAGGCTGGAAGAGGCGCTGCTCGTTCAGACGGCCCATCAAGCAGGCGAAGTGCAGCGCCACGTCCTCCACCAGCGAGAACTCGGCCGCCGGTGAGTCGGTGGTCTTCTCAACCAGCAACTGCGGGGCACAGGACACAGGTCAGGTCAAGGCCAGCGGGGCCCCAGCAGCACCCACCCGGAGACAGCCCACTCATCATTCTTGGTTCTACATTACAGAAAAGGAGCCAACGCTCAAGCAAAGATGAGGGGGAACTAGGGTTCAAGCCCAAGTCAGCTTGCCCCTCAGAATTCAAGCTCCAATCATGACCTTCTGAGGCCCAAGATCAGTTAACCTTTCTGGGCCTCCAGCTCTTCCTCTGTGAAACAGGAAGTCATTTGGGGAAGGGAAGGGGAAGAGAGGAAAAGGGACGAGGGTGACTAACTGTCCAGGTGTGTTAGGGACCTAGGGGTTTCCTGGGATGCGGAATTTCAGCGCTAAAACCAGAGCTATCGTGGGCAAACCGTGACTAGGTGGTCACCCGAGCAGGGACATAGGCATTCCTTCAGTATTTCCAGAGCCCCACAGATTCTCTCCCGACACTCGCTCACACAAATAAAACCACGCCTGCCTAACCCCGGAAACAGAAGTCTGGCTTACGCATAACCCAGCCTCTGCTACTGCAGCCCTGGGGGCAGCACTTAAGGGAACCCCTCACTTCACTAGCAGTGGACCTTAAGGCCTGGGCCTGAGGGCTGCCGCGGTAGAAACGTGTGACTTCTCCCCACCTGGTCCTGCCGCCCTGCTAGAGGAAGCTGGAGATCCACCTAGCCCCTCATTACTCGGCCAGAGCTTTGACCAGGCCACTGCACATGATCGCAAGCCTGGCCGCCAGCAACTCCCTCTCACACAGGGGTTCTGTGGGGGGTGGGAGGACACACGAGGCCCCCAAGACCTTTTCCCTCTAAGCTACCAGACCCAGGTCAAGTATGGTCCAGGCCCAGGGGCTCTGAGAAGTCTGCATCTTGGAGGCCACACCATCTGGGGACTCTGCAGCCTCAGGAAGGCCCTTGAAATCTGATGGGTCAGATTATCAGGTCCTTGGGCCACACTCAGCACCTTGAATTGCCCACAGTAGGAACCAGCTTAATTTTTCCTGGCTCCAGCACAGCGGTCTCCCCAAAAGGTGGGCAGCACAGACAGGCAGGCTGCCCCGTCCCTTGAATGGGTTCAGCGCACAGCGGATGCTCAAGACCTGCCTGACTGGACCAACCCCACAGGTTCCAGGTTCTGGCCCTCAGACCCTGTCCAACTGAGTCAGAGCATCCTACATTTGAAGACCTTACCCCGCTGCCACCAAGACATCAGCTCCCCTCCCTCAAGCAACTCCCTGGAGGCCATCTATCCACAGCCCACCCCATCCCCCATGCCAGTCCTTCCACTGGTGGGCAGCGTGTGTGTGTGTGTGTGTGTGTGTGTGTGTGTGTGTGTGTATTCTCAATTTCTCAGTCACCTGAATGAGAATCTGCCCTGGGCCTCAAGGAGCCACCAGAGACAACCGGCTCCAAGACCGGCCCTGGGCCCCACCCTCTGCACCTAGCAGCCCAGGGCAGCACCCACCCAACGCTCTCTCAGATCCCAGTTTAGCCAGGCCCCTGGCCATGGATACCATCTTCCTCGAGTTCTCCCACCACACCTCCGAACCCCACCCACCTTCCCTCCGCCAGCCAAAAAGCCACCGCATGTCCTCTCTGTCTCAGGGCTGCTCGCCTGTCAAGGCCTGGCTCATCTAACCAGGACAGGGTGCCAAGCCATTCCTTTCTCCCTCCCCTGACTCAGTCTGATTCCTCTTCTGGGACCAACCCTTATTGAACAGATGGGGAAACTGAGTCTCAGACTGGGAGGATCCCATAGTGAGTAGTAACAGGGCTCCTGGCCTCCCAGCTCTGCTAAGGCCACCCTTCCCTGTTGGGCTGGACACCTTCATTTCTTGGCCTTTCATGACTTATAAAGCAAAAAGAGGCATCTGGGGACCCTCCCACCCAGGGGACAATCTGTGCTTCCTCAGACTCTCCCCCCAGCCACCTCCCGAGAGATGCTGCCACCTGCAGGTCAGTGAGGGGTCAAGATACAACTTGCGTAGTAACGCCAGATAGTGGCAGAGGAAGTGGCTTGCATAAGGGCTTGTCAAAGCCAGGCCTGTTGAGGGGAGCCCACCCCAGGTCGCAGTCCACCCCGCTGCCCCTTCCCAGAATGCCCTCCAGTGCCTGCCTTCCATGGGAAAAGGGTAGTGCCCAACCTTCCCATGTGCAGGTCCAGTCCCAGGGGCCAGACGAGGCCTGGCCAGGGCCCTCTGGCTTCAGCAGGGGAGCAGGGACTTGGCCTGGGGGATAGTGCTGCTCCAACAACTCCATTCACGAGGCAGTACCCCCACCTAAACCAGCATCCTTGGCTCTTGAGGGGCTGAGCACCTCACGACCTAGCACCGTGGCTGGACTTTGAGAAGGCACACAGATGCAGCCTGAGTCCATAACTGGCAGCCCTTCAGCAGGGCACAGCTGTCCCCTAGGCTGGCACCTTCCATACAGGGCCCACCAGCTGTGCCCGTTTCCCCAGCCAGATGTGCCAGTTCCCTGAAGCTGCAGATGCCCCTCCCCATCTGGCTGTGCCAGCTGCAACCATACACCCTACCCCCAAGTCCCGGCCAGGCCATCCTCAACAAGATGCAGGACCAGGGGAGTGGTCGGGCACTCCTGTTGCCAGGGGGGTTTCATGTCCTCAAACCCTCCCTCCAAGGCAGGCTGCGGGGAGGTCAGATGCCAGGGACACCTGCCCAGGCAGCTCACCTGAGTCAGAGCTTCTGTACCATGGCCACCAAGCCATTGGCTCCGTACCCTGCCCCAGGGCCTCGCTGGAGGCCCGGGGATGAAACCTGGGCATCCATCTGCACCCTCCACTCCCACGCTAATCCTTCTATCGCCAGGCAGCAGTGGATGGGCCCAGTCTGGGCAAGGGGCACAGGCTCATGACTTTCAGGCTCCTCTTTTTGGGGAGAGGTTGTCTATGCTAGTCTCTGTTCTAATGTCCCCCTCCTTCCCCAGGAAACAGGACCAGAGAGGGCGGGGGACCGGCCCAAGGTCACACAGGAGTTTGGACCGGAGCTGCGGGCGTCCCCCCACACACCCCGCTTGGCCTGGCCGGGGCGCCCCCGCATCCCTAGGCAGGGCGGCTCCAGCGCCCACGTGGCCCAAGGCCCAGGCGGGAATCCGACCTCTCCCCCTCCCCCCCATCACCCAGTCCGAGGGCGGCGCCGTTAGGACTCAGGGAAGCGCCCCCCTCCGCCAGTGCCCGGCGAGACCTCAGTCTCTCGCGCTCAGGCACCCACCCCAGGAATTTAACCCCGTCACCGCCGAAGGCCGCGCCAGAGATCCGCATTCCAGGCCTGCGGGGATCGAGGATAAGGAGGTCGGGGAGACTCGGCGAGGGGGAAGAGCCCTCCAGCCCCTCCACCCCGAGCCAGCGGGCCGTGCGCTCGGAAGGGCAGAGCGGGCAGGTGGGCGGATAAGCGGGGGGACAGGCAGGGCCTTGCGTACCATGGTGCCGTGGCGCTGGGGGCTTACAGGGCCCCGCGGGATCGCGCTGCCCCCGGCGGCCGGGCCGGGGCCGCTCCATGAAGCGCCGCGCTGGGGGCCGCCCCCGCGCAGGGCCCCGCGACCATGGCCCCCGGGGGCGCGGCCGGGCTGGCGGAGGCGCTGGGCCGCAGCGAGTCCAGCAGCCGAGCAGCTGCGGCCCCGGAGCCTCGGGCGCGNCCGCAGCGAGTCCAGCAGCCGAGCAGCTGCGGCCCCGGAGCCTCGGGCGCGGCGGGCGGGGGGCGCGGGGCGCCGATTGGAGCCCGCGCGTCAGCTGGGGCCGCCGTCTGGACGCTTAAAGGGCCAGGCCGCCCAACGTGCCGGCGGGGGGCGCGGACACGTGTGGTGTGCGGCGTCCCGGAGCCGCCAGCTCTGCCTCGGGCCGCCGGGGCCCTCAGCCAGGCTCCGCTGCTCCCATCCAAGCGGATGGGCCCCGGCCTCACTCTCCTGCACCGAGCCCCTTTCTGCCGCCGGAAAGTTCGTCCCAGAGTCTAACCTCGGTGCCCTCCAGCTGCGCGACAGAGGCGGGGTCGGAGAAGGAGGCGGCCCTGCGATGGAGAAGCTGGGTGCACCCGCGCTCCAACCAGCTTCAAGAAAGGCTTCTCTACCTGCTCCCCTGAGTGACCCCACATTGAGGAACCTGACGGCACCCTAGATGCTCTCACCACCCCCACCCTCTGGCCTGGGCTGCTCTGACCTTAGGGTGAGTCTGGGATCTCCAACTAGGGCCCCTCACCCGTACCCCACGGCAGCCCAGGGCTCATTTTGCTCTATGCTTGCAGGACTTAGTCCTGGTAGACCCATACCTACCTGGTGGCCTTTCTGGCTGCACAGGTCCGCCCAGGGCAGAAGACACAAGAACCCAGACCACAGCTGCAATGATCAAGTCTGCGACCAAAAGCAGGAGAAGAGGAGCAGGGGCCAGAGGCCCAGGCCTCACTGCGCCCCCAGCCGTGTGACCTGACGGCTGCTCCGGAGCCTCCCCACTCAGTCTCTGCTGGGAAGATGCAGCCAGGCCTGCGGAATGCTGCTCTGGCATGGACACCAGTGGGGGCAGGGGGCTGGCTGTGCTGGCAGGAGGCTACAAAGGAACACTGCCAGGCTGAGCAGGCAGCAGAGTGGGGGACCACAGTGTGCTGGGCCTGGCAGGACCCAGGTGGTGGCTGGGCCACCTCTATGGATAGGGGGCCTCTGTGGGTCTCATGTGGCCGTGTCATCCTTAACCCCACCCCCACCCCACCCACCCCAAACTGACTGCTACCGCATATTGGGTCACTCTCCCATTGCCCCCGTTCTAAGAGTACCACACAGTACACCTCACTCCTCCCCACACACATGCACTCGCACTTACCAGCCATGCCTAGCTGTAGCGGTTATCTCCTGGGTATGCCACCTTACTTGTGCCTGGGCAGGGAGGGACTCTGGGGCCTTTTCAGAGTGACTTGGTCTGGATGCCAGGGGGAGAATGGAGCAGAGGCCAAGATCCCAGGCAGGCACCATCCTATAGTCCGATGGTCTGACCTGTAAGATCGCAAGGGCCTTCCCTGAGGCCAGGATGGGGAGGCCCTCATGGTGAGGCCATCCTAGAGCCAAGGGGAAAACACCTCAGGGGCAAAGATGGGGGTGATCAAAGCGTGCCAGAGGAAGGGGAGGAATGTACACAGCCAGATGGAGGCTGAGCAGAGACCTTGGTGGAAAAAGAGATGGGAAGAGGGAAAGGGGCACACGTGGGGCCAGGCCCCCCGAGGCAGCCACTGCAGACATTCTGCACGTCTGTGGCCATGGTGGGTTTGTAGACAGCTGGCTCAGTTCCCAGAGGTCTCGGGCTGAGGCCAGGCCAGAGTGGCCCACATGCCTCACCAGCCAGTCACCTCAGGGCTGCCCTCTATCTTCCTCCCAACCCACTTCCTCATCTGACTCAGTGGATCCCTGCACCAGCCTGGGGGGTGGCAAGGGAGGGATTGTGTACCCTTTGGTTGGATAAGGCCCAGAGCAGGACAAATCGCATGGCCAGGCACCAGCGTCAGGAGCCAGAGAAAGGGGAGGCTGGGAGAGAGTGGCCTCCCCCACAGGCTGGGAGGAGCCTGGCAGAGAGGACCCTCCTGGACCCACTTCCCAGCCAAGGCTTGGTGGGGGGCTGTGGCCAGTGTGACTCAGGTAGGGCTGCTGGTCCCTTTGAGACTGGCCTTGACTGCAGCAGTCAAGCCAAAGGAGGGGCTGAAGGTTGGGTGAGAAGAGGGTATGGGCTGTCTCCGTCTTACTTATCTGGCCTACAGCCCATCTGCTGGGGGAGCCCCAGGCAGGGCCTGAGCTCTGTGAGAAGCTATGGCAGGAAGGGGCTGTTTGAAGAGCTCAATCTGGTGGGCTCAAATGGGGCTGCTCAGAGCTGAGGCCCATCAGCTAGAGCAGAAGGGCACTTGAGGCAGAGAGAATAGCACTCCAAGGGCCTGGAGGCAGGGGGCAGTTTAACATCTGTAGGGAACTAGGGTCATTTGATGTAGTGGAGTCGAGATTCTTGTCAGGTGTGAGTGCCTGGCCTGATGGAGAGCGGGAGAATTGCTCTCTGGGCCTTGGCGAGAGCCATGCTATGGGGCTTTCACCTCATGCTTGGTCACGGCAGGCGTGACCAAGGCTGGAGGGGGAATCTTAGGCCAGAATGGCATGTCCCAGTGGGGAACCAGGAGTTTGTGAAGGCCAGGTCCTGCAGACACTTGGGGCTGAGTGCTGGAAGGTCAGCAGCCATGCCCCTGCCTCTAGGAGACAACTCACAGGCTTTCTGACAAGTTCCCTAAGCATCTAGCCCCAAGTTTCTCTCCCATGTCAGGGAGGAGGAACAGACTCAAACAAGCAGTCCCCAGGCTTGGTTGGGGAACCCAGACTCACCCCTACTGAACCTGGAAAGACCAGCACAGGCCAAGGGTGAGGGGGTGGGGGCAGTGCAGGGCTCAGCCTTCCTGGGGGGCATGGAGCTGTGCAGATGCTGTAGCTGAGATGGGGAAAGGAGAGAGCACAATGGCCAGTGCCAGAAAACAGAAGGTGACGATACAGCATGGGGTGGATGGGGTGGCAGGGAAATTCACGCTCCCCCCCAGGTGCTGACCCATGGCCCTGCAGGGCGGACAGCAGCATAGATCTCTGGGTGTGGGGCTGTGGGGAGGAAGTGTTGCTCCTGTTCTGCTGAGCTCAGCATTAATAGGCTACAGCTGCTGGGGGGTTGGGGCCTAATTCAAACCAGCAGGTTGCCTGGTTCCCTCCTGAAGCACAAACGTCATGGCCTTGGCATTCGAGGCCTCCTTGTCCGGGATCCTCTCCCACTCTGTTGGTTCAAGGGACCCCCGGGCTCTCATTTGTGATTGAGCCCAGCCCTCCACATGAACCCCTGGGGGGGCCAGCGGCCCTTAACTACGTTGATATGTGCTGGTTCGAAGCATTTAATCCTCACCAGTTCTTGGAGGGAGGCCTCAGTATCCCGGCTCTTCAGATGAGAATTATAAAGGCCAAGAAATGTATCCCAAGTTACCCAACTTTAGGAAGTGGCAGAGCAGAACTTGAACCCAGGCATTCTGTTTCTGGCCCCAAGCCCTTAAGGACACAACTAATTGCTCACAGAGGTTATTTCTTCAAATTGGGGCAGAGGCATGAAGGCCAGTGGGATTCTCTCTCTGGGAATCTGGCGTAGTGGCACATGAGTTGCAGGAGGCCCTGCGTGATCCGGGGCCGAAGTGCCAGCCCAACCTCCTGTCCCCTGTGGGTTGCCTGGGAGGCTGACTCGGCGCTGGTCTGGTCTGAGAAGGGATGGGCACCCCTGGTTCTCCTGTTTGGTTGCACCAGTCGTATGCACCCTCTTTCGGGGCTTATGAACTGAGATGAGCAGTCCAAGGACCATTAGCCTCGGAGAACAGATGAGCAGAGGCCCAGGGTCAGGCCTCCAGATGCAGGATGCGAGTGTCTGTCCTAAGGCCTTGGGTCACTCCTTTTTTACCCCGATGTCCTCAGGACTCGAGACTGGTTGAAGAGACGCAATGCTCCCCAGGCCACCCTGGGTCCTGCTGGCTATGAAACTTGGCTCAGTCTGGAGCGGGAGCTTGATGGGCTGTCCATGGTGCATGGTGGGTCTGGGGCAGAAGAGCTTAGCCCCCACCTTGGCACAGCGCCCCGCCTCCCCCCCCCCACGCTTTCTGATTCACAGGGAGAAGAGGCAGGGGCAGGGGCACACTGCCTCTTCCTACTGAAGCTTTTGAAGAAAACAGACGGTTAGACCGTGACAGCCTTCTGTCTCCTTGCCTCGCCCTCAGCAGGCAGACGAGCTGCCCAGTGTGTCCTGAGGTGAGCAGGTACTGTCCTTCAGGGCACCCAGCTCCTCTCCCTGCCACCTTTACAGCATCCGAGTGCTCTCCCTGCCGAGCAGAGTCCTGCGGCGCTTTTCCCAGCCCCTTCCATCTCGAGTCCCTCCTGGGACTTCAGGCTCTCCCCTATGGGCACCAGCGGGGTTGTGCCCTCTTCTGAAAACCTGCCACTTGAGCTCAGGCTCTTCCATCGTGAGAGGCCTGGCATCCCCGTCTTTCACCTGGTCCCTCAGACTAACATTCAGGGTCTGTCACTCTAAACCGAGGGAGTCTCTTGTGCCTTCCAGTGATGTCCTGCCAGTGCTGTCAGTCGCTTGAGGGGCATTTTCCGTGACTTCTTACCTCCTAGTCAATGCCCTGCTAATTCAGAACAATTCAAGACCAAAGCCCTTGGCAGTTTCCCCCCAGTACTGCCAGCTGATGGAACTTATCTGTCAGAGGTGAATCAAGATTCTGGAGCTCACAAAAACACAAGACCTGGAAGGAAGCTTGCTTGGGGATTTCCCCACAGCAAACAGACCTGAGTTTCCCTTCACTTTTAAAGCAATGCATTGATTGGACTGCTTCTAGGAACTGCCTGACTTTGGTGGTGGTGGTGGTGCGGGGGGGCATTCTACTGATTGCTAAGTTTTGAAAACTAAATCTCTGCAAGTCTTACTGTAGGAGGTTATGTTGTATTCACCGAGCAAATACAAATTCCTTTGAGTTCTGAGGAGAAAAAAGTTAATTGTACTTGCCAGGCAAATTCTCCTGTGGATGCTAAAAATATCACCATGACGGTTTCCTTCAGGAGTGAGTGCCCTGTGCCTGCCTGGTGAACCACTGTTAGGAGGGACGTGTGGGGGCTATACGTGGGTTGGCAGGTGAATGGGCTGTCCCTGGGCAGCAATGCATGGACAGAATGGGACACAGTCCCTCAACCAGGACATCAGTATACAGGTCACAGCTCATGACTATAGCCATGCCTGGGGGAGAGCTGGAGTGGGCAGGGGCCAAGCACTATCAGTGCTTCTGTGGGTGGGTGACCATCTCTGCCTGAAGCTTTCTCGAGCGCCAGTCACCTCGGGCCCCACCACTAACCCTCGGCTAGGCGATGACAACGAGCCCCAGGGAGAGGAGTTCCTTCACTGGCCGGGTTAGCAGAGACCTCTTCCATGTGGTTCCTCTTCCATGTCAGAAAGATGATTTGAAGAGTAAAGAAAGCTGACATATACACAGACTCAGGCTTAGACTAAGTATATATTTTAATCTCTACAAGGTCCCCTTTTCAAGTTGTAGGGGAATTTAAGTGTATACAAATTAGACATTGCCGATATGTACAAAAGTATTTTCTAGTTTTTAAACACCAGCTATGTCATGTTTCATTTGCAGTAAACAGGACGTTACAAAACCAGTCCGATAATACATTTTCTATTAAGAAGCACAATACACAACATAATTCAATTTTATTAAAAAATAACTTAAAATACAGAACAATCCCCTTAGGAAGAAAAGCTGTCTCTGTAGTTCATTCAGTAAACACACAAGTTGAATGCTGCAGCCCAGGGCTGTCCTTTTCCAATGGGAAAACCAACCAGGCTTCTAGGGCCCACCTTTTTAGGATAAAATTCCACCCACCGGTGCAGTGGGCAGTTCCGGCCTGTGGTAGGCAGAATTGTAAAATGTCCCCTCCCCGTCCCCCCCATTCCATGCCCCAACCAGGGAACTTGGGCTTATGGTATCTCTCCTGTGATAATGTTATGTTCTATGGCACAACTGACCTTAAAATAGGGAGACTATCTCAGTGGTCTTGATCTAAATCACATGAGCCTTAAAACAGAGGAAGAGGCAGAGAGATCTAAAGCATGAGAAGGAGGACGGGACGGGTCATGGCTGGTTTGAAGATGGAGGGGAGTACACAAGAAGGGATTCGAGCAGCCTTAAGGAGCTGAGACACAGGCCCTCGGCAGGATCGGAACACTGCCGACCGCCTGAATGAACTTGGAAGTGGTTTCTTCCCCGGAGCCTCCATAAAGGAACGCTGCCCTGCTGACCGTGATTTCAGCCTTAGGAGACCCTGAGCAGAGAGCCCAGCCGTACCGCGCCAGCTTCACAAGCTACAGAGCTGTGAGCTAAGAAATGGGTGTTGTTTTAAGCTGCTAGGTTTGGGGTAATTATTTACAAAGCAGTAGAAAACTAAAACCAACACACTGCCCAAGGGTAACTTTTTTTAACCTAATTAGATTTGGCAGGTTTTGTTTGGGTTCTGAATGCAGTTTTTTTCCACTATTATTAAAGCAATAATCGCCACTGCAGGCAACTTTTGAAAACCCTTCACATGAATCACACATTGTTTTGTGTTCACCAGCGAGTACGTTTGTTTGACTCAGGCCATTTTTAATGTGCTCTCATCTATCAACTTGGCAAACAACTGACCACGTAACCCTGTTTATGAACCTTTTATGGGTAACGGTTTGAATATATCCAAGGTCATCCTTCTATCCATCAAGAGTTGTCAGATTCCTCCGCGAGGGCTCTTTCCCATTTCCCAACTACACCAGGCAGGGCCTGGGGTAGGCTGGCACAGAGTTCTACATCAAACATCCAATACGAATTTCTTCTGCATAACTGGATTAAACTGGCACTAAGGTGATTAAGTACACTTGGGGAAAAAACTCCAATAGATTAAAAAAAAACACAAAAAACCACACCAGTTCTTACAGGTCAAATCGTTTTTGGAGGAACCACCAAACACTGAAAATGCACCATGTATGCGGTACCATACACTTCTCTTTCCCTGCCTGCGGTCCTGGCTTCACTGAGTCAGTGTGAGTCCCAGCAGAAACAGGAGAAACGCCGGTGCTCAGAACCGCTCGGCTGCTGCTGTGGTCTCTTACTTGAATGACTTAAAAGCCCTGCCAAGTGTCCAGGCTGGTGGCAGTTAGATTTTGGTGTTACTTTTGAAGTCTATTCTTCAGCCCACTCTTCCAGAGGCACATATGTCAGTTTTGTGGCCACATAGCTCCCAATGCCAATCCTGCCTGATCCGGGAGATCCCCCAACCCACACCTGTGGCTTGAGAAAAATCGCTCCAGGTATTCAAAGTGAATACAGCTCTCTCTCATGAGATTGTAACATACAGAAAAACAATGCTTAAAGAGGCACCGAAAGGTACCAAGCACCAAAGCATGAACTGGAATAGAATTGTTTTGTACAGTAAACGCTAGGGCCTTAGAGACAGTGCAGGTATCTATAGTTAAGGCTGATTTATTCTTCTTAACTTCACCTGCTGGCCTGAAGTAATAAAGACAGTGGACTGTACGATGACCACTTTCCTGATCCTCTGAGACAACAAAGAAGGAAAGAATGAATTAAGAAACCCCCAAAGCCACTACCTTATACTCCTGGCTACCATCAGGATCAATTCTGGGTGGTTTAAGAGCACATATGTATAAGACTGTGTAATTGGTAGATAAATATTTGGTCACCTTTAACAGTTCTCCCTCACAGACCTATGTTTGGCAGCATATATGCTACAATAAAACCTGAAAAATGGGCAAAAAGAACCTGTATTCAAAAGAATACACAAGATGGAGAGAGATAGTCTATCTAAAATGATATTGCAAATAATATTAAAATATCATGGTTTCTTGATTTAAGAAAATGAAATTCACTTCCATAGTTGTAAAATGTAGCATAAAAATATTTTTAGGAGACATATCTGTATTTTAAATCCTGCACACACATAAATGAACAAGTAACAATTAAGAAGTATCTGGTTTTGAAATTCATCTCTAATACTGAAATAGAACAACAGACTGCCATTAAGTTTTTTAAACTTTTAAGTTACCAGATATTTACAAATAAGATATAATTCTATCAAAAAAAGGGGGGCATTTTCAACTGTATCTGCTGCTTTCACTGGGACTCCGGTGATGAGAGTAACTTCGGTCACTTTCACTGTCAGAGCCGTAAGATCTACAACTCCTGTGTAACAAAACAAAACAAATACACAAACACCGTTTAGCTGCCAACCTTCTGAATCCCTCTTGTAGCTTCTTTTTTGGTCTGAGTGTCTTAAGAGCAATGCTGATGTGGCAAAGCACAGTGGGTAGACCAGTGGCCACGTTGTGGACTTTTCAGAGATGTTTTAAACGACAGTAATATCAAGGTTAAGACAAAAATGAAGAAACACCACATCTTGGGAAATTACCTGAAATCCACTCAAGCAAATGAGCAGAATAATTTTCCATGTTACCCACACTGAACATCAATATTTAATTAGACTGAGGAAATAAGGGGAAAAAGGTACATGAAGAGAGTTTCATTAAAGATGTGGAAATCACAACTGCTGCCCAATGAGGGGTGAGGGTGGGGTGGGGCATGGACAGGACCACCACTGGGATGGTGGGTCCAGGGGACATGGTTATGGTCACCATTCGGTTATCTTGAAAAATACTCACTGAGAGCCGATCACTTTGCGATACTAGGAACACACACACAGACCTAGTTCCCTGGGGCTCAAGGACAGTACAGACTAGTGGGCAAGACTAATAAGGCACACTGAGGGGGGGTGGGGGTGGCACCTCTCAGGGTCAGCATCAGAGGGCTTCCCAGGGCCAGTGGGTTGCAGTGGGGACCTGCAGGTAGGTGGGATTGGCCATTTCAGCAGGCAGGAGAGGAGACGGTATCTCTAGGCACAAGTAAAGGTTCTAGCACATTAAAGAAGGGAAGATAGAAGACTGCAGGCTGAGCGGGTAGGCGGAGGGACCGTGCAACGCTAAGGAGCCTGGACCTGCCCGAGGGCAGTGAGGAACCCTCGAAGAGCTTCAGACAAGGGAGCGTGGTGATCACAGTGCCATTCTACAAGGATCACTGGTGGTAGCTGCAGTGGGTGGGGGAAGAAGGGTAAGACCGGAAGCCACCAGGAAAGGGACACTACAAAAAGTCACTATAAAAACTTTCGCAGCACTAGCCAAAATATGTTGCATAAAACATATTACAAATATAATAATATATAAACACATTTTTTACTAAATATTCACCAGATATAAACCTCAATCCTGCTGAACCAAATGATTATGACATTTTATTATTTAAAAAATTGACAAATTGGTGCTATTTCTAGCAATGAGCCCTATTGAAAGGAGTGGGCCATGACTTGGGTGGCCTTCTCTCTTTACTCCTTCCAAGAGAAATGTTTGTTCAAGGATATGTGAATATTTAAAAATCCATTTTAGATTCAAACGTTAACAATAACCAACAAACATTACCCGGCAACTCTTAGTACAAAGGCCACATTCAGTAGCTGCCTGTGGGTTGCTGAGATTCAGGAAGAGAAAGCCATATTCTGTCCTGAGAAGATTACGCTTTCTCTTCTCCCAGAAGTCTGTCACCTCACATGCCAAGTGCCCACAGTAAGGTGCCGCGCTCTAAGGGACAGAGACCCACCTGGACCGCCTCGTGTAACTTCTGCCTCGGTGGTAACTGTCACTCCTCTGGCTTCGACTCCGACTCCGGCTCCTGCTGTAGTAGCTATCGTAAGTGTAGGACCTGCTTTAACAGCAAAAACAAACACTGAATGTTCCAAACACACATTCCCATTTGTTTTCATGTGCTTTAGAGTGTTCTCCTAGAACACAGGCACAAAGGACATGTGACAGTGTGAGGACATATTTGCATAACAAGTACCGGAAACATTTAACAATTGCCCCAAATGAGACTTACCGTATAAAACAGAAAAATGTTAATTTCTTTTCTGCATTGAAAAATATCACAAAATTAACACTGAGTTAGTTTTGATTGAATCTGGCGGATATTAGGCAATTATATTCAGTAGATACCTGCCACTACAATTTGACATCAATTGTCACTTCTGACACTAGAGTACAATGGGCCAACAGAAAAAAACTGTCAAAAAAGACCTCATTTAGAAAGGGTGTGATTGCGTGAGACAAATACATCTGTTTTAGATTCTCAATAAAACACAACACTTTTTAAAGGGACTTGAGGGTTTTATGAAACCAGGGCGGCCCCCACAGGTGCTGCCCACCCCCGGGCCATACCTGGACCGGCTGTGGGGATCATACGAGCTGCTCCTGGATCTGCTCCTGCTGGACGTCCTAGCATGAATCACATGAGGAACCGTCATCTTGTGGATCAGGATAGGCTACCTCAAAACTCTAGACATTATTTGCCCACCAAGGAGAAAACAATGAAATCCAGCAGCTGGAGGGGTTTTGTTTTGATATCAAAAGTATATTGGTTTTTTTTAAAAAGCATGTTGGATTTCAGAAGAAAGGTTACGTTTTATGCTTTCTTCTATGAAGTGCGCCTAAAGAGAATCACTGGGGAGGCCTCTGCCTGGGTGGGGAGGAGGACAGGTCTGCCCAGGGAGGACACCTGTCAGTAAAGGGAACCTGCAGCATTGGGAAATACCTGAGAAGCAGCCGGGAGAAACAGAAACAGAAACCGGGGCCACTCCCTGCCCACTCCTTCCTTTGGTTGCCTTTTAACAACCCTCCCATCCCAATCCCTAACCAAGTCAAGGGGTGATTGCAGATGTGAACTTAGTTTGAGGAAGGTGTGTTGGGGGTGGGGAGGAGGTGGAGGCAGTGGTCAGGGCCACTTAAGTATTTCTACTGTTTCTCCTTCCTCACTCTGGGAAGATCACAGCCTGAGAACAGCTAGTAAGAACATGATAGCTCTTTGAAAGAGCTAGATGAGAAAAGACACCTACTGGTCTTTATCAGTGACAGGCTTCTGCTCAAGGGCTTCCCCACCCCCGCCTGTGCAGGCCTGGAAAAGCAGACAGGATGGAGCCAGGACGGCGGGACGGGTTCCCAGGCTCACCGCTGACTTTTGTAGCTGCGGTAGGAGCTGCTCCGGCTTCTCGTGCGGCCTCTGCTGTACCATCCTCTGCTCCGACTTCTCGAGTAGCTTCTTGATCTACAAGTATGAGTGGAAAACTATAATTATAATCACTCCTCGTGCTGTTAAAATTAATTACTTGTGGGGCAGGAAGGGGAAAACACAGTAAGAGGAAAGGTCTCTCACGAACTCAGCACAGTGGGTATGACAGTGACAGCTAATGAGGGCTTACATCGAACAGAAGGAAACAAAGACAAGCCAGACAAGGCTGATACAGTAAGTCCCTGACTTAAGAACGAGTTCCGTTCTGGGTGAACGTTCGTAAGTCGGATTCGTTCCTAAGTCCGACTCGTTTGTAAGTTCGACAAAGTGAGTCTTATACACCTTTGACACAAATAGACAATGTAAAGCCAATGGTTGAACGATTCATGCTATAAGAACGAGCAACGTCTACTATCTTTTCGCCTCGGTCCAATCTCTCAATTATTTTCACTTTTGTTTCCATGGTTATTGCTTTGCGCTTCCTAGCAGTCCCCTCCGCATCACCACTGCTTGTCCTCTTGCTTCCGGACATCCCAGGCTCTGATGGAGCACTGGACTACTGTACACTATCGCACTGTACAGTAAGCACACAGCAGCACAGCTGTGACAATGTCTGGCAGACACGTGAGCTACTTCTGCGATTTGTTCGCATCTGTGAATGTTCGTAATGCGAGGTCCGTTCGTGTCTGTGAAAGTTCGCAACTCGAATGTTTGTTAAGTCGGAGACTTACTGTACAGGTATGTTTACAGGAGCCCCATGTGTAACATTAGAAGAGGAAATAATCCCATCTCCTTTAACAGCAGGATGGGTTAAAAACATTAACACACAGAAATACACCGAAATACTCTAAAGTAGGAAACTAAACGAACTACAGCAACACGTAGCAACAGAGGTGGTGTATAATGTGAAAAGGCAAATGTAGAATCTATACATAGAAAAGGATCATGTGGCAACATGCAAAAGCAACACTGCATAAGGACAGAAACATTTGTGGTAAAACTAAAAAGGAAAACTACACAATTATAACAAAAGTTTAGAATGATGTTTAACTCATTCTAAAATGAAAAGAGAAAAGAGAGAAAGTAGAGCTGCACTGGGTAGGGCTCTATCAGGTACGTCAAAGACCTATTTTTTAAACCTAGGTGACATTTTTATTATTTTTTTATGCCTTAATCATTTATTTTATTTTAATATCTATTTAATATTTAATAAAACAAACAGAAAACTTAGGTAATGCCATTCCGCCCCTGTGCATTCACTTAGCTCCCTGCCCTTCTCCCCTGCCTTGTATCTGTCATTCGGAACAGGACGGTAACCCTATCTGTACACTACTTATGTAGGATCTTCACAGGTTTTATTCATTTTGAACACATTATGTTCTAATAAGATTCTAGCCATTTACGCAACACACAACTATAAAGCAGACCATGTGAGGTGACTGGAAGATAAGCAGGAAACAGTCTCTGGATTAGCAGACATTTGGTCCTACCAAATACATCCACAGAGACATTTAGTCTACGCCAAAAGGTCCTTGAAATTTGGTCCTGTCAACAACATCCACACTTAGAAAACAGGTCTGGGTTCAGATCGCTCATGATATTTATTTACACTTTTCGTTACACATGCAAAAAATTCTATCATGTTTTATCGGACCAGTACTTATGGTGTGGTCCTGCCAATCATACCCCTTCCCGCCTCGGTCGCCCAGCACATGGGGTCAGGCAGGTGGGGCGGCATGGGCCACGTGTCTCCGTGCCTGTTTTGGACAGGACCAAGGTGTTCTGCAAGACAGGCCCCGACTTCAACAAGTCCATAGCCTAGTAGGGGAGTCAGGCCCAGGCGGGTAAGCAACACAGGGAAACAGAGGTTAGCTAGCTCCGTCCACTACCCTTAGCACAGCTTCGAGCAAACTCCTTAGCCTTTCTATGCCTCACTGTCTTCATGTATAAACAAAACACCACCCACCCCACGAGGCAGCAGGCGGAAGGTACGAAATGAGAGCAGCCAGCATCACCAGCAGCTCAGAGCCGTTAGATGCTGAGCGGACAGGAGGCTGAAGCAGCTCGACAGGTAACGGCACCTAGGACTATGAACCTGGGGAGAAGCGGCCAGGATCCACCAGCTCTCCGGACTGGGCCTGCTGGGAATCCAGGCAGCAGCCCGCAGCGCAAGCATGCGATGGTCTGAGAGGGAAGAGTTGGCAGAGGGCTTCCAGAAGGTGAGGACCGAAGGCGTGCCCTGCACTGATCCCGTGGAGGGTCTGAAACCTCAGTCAGTCTAGTGAGATGGGGGAGGGAAAGCGCGGGAGACAGACTGCAAACCACAGAGGGGTCAACGGGAGACAGTTATTACAGGCGGCGAGTGCTGGTTCCTATCTTTAAAGAAATCTGGGTGAGGGCAGAAAAAGGCTGACACATAACTAAAAAGAAAAAAAAACGGTCAAATACTATTATTGTATTTGAAGTTCAAGTGAGGAAAAGCAAGCACAATATAATAAGAGATGTGAGTAATTAAGAGACAGTGAGGTAAAACCCAAAAATATTTACAACTACAAAAAAAAATACAAGGTACTTATTAACTTCCTATCACCATCACCAACTTTTTTTAGTTTTAAAAAAATTTCACCCAGTCTATGCTGATGACAAAAGTCAGATGCAACTTGAACCAAAAATCTGAAAGATGAGCGTTTTTTACCAGCCACCCCCCCTTCTCCCCTCCCTTAGATAAAGGTCAACTAGATGCTTGTCTTGAGCAGGAAACTGCCTGTCTGGCCCTCACCTCCCACTTGTGGGTGATGGAAGGTCAGATTAACGATCTCCAAATCCTACCATTCTGTAAACTCAGGATTCCCTCCTAAGGCATCACTGGCAGGCGAGAGGGCAGCCTCACACCTATCATGGCAACTCGTTTATTTCTATGGCCAGACAGCTTTAACTGATGGCGACCGTTTTTTACATTGAGCCAATTTCTTCCCTGAAATCTACTCCCCGTGTCCTCAATCTGCTCTCTGAGTCACACAGCACAAGACTTCTCCTTATTCCCATCCAGATATTTGGAAACAGTGATCCTGTCTCCAATTCTGATGTTCTTCCAAGCTAAACAATAACAGACTCTCTTTGGGAGAAAAAAAGGGAAAAATAATATTGCTCACCGATAAGACGATGAGGAACTTCGCGATGGACTTCTTGAGTGACTGTAGGAGACAGACCTTGTTCTGTGTCTTGATTTGGTTTCAGATTTACTTCGAGATCTGCTGGGACTCCTGGACTGGCTATCATCATCCCGACTAGGTGTCTGCTCATCACTTGAACTCTCCTGATTTCTTGGCCTCCGGTTTAAGCGTGCCGTCTTTCTTACTTCATCAAAGAGAGACCCAGGCCGAACTTTATTTTTGCTTTTAATTTCTATTCTCAAGCCTTGTGGTTTGGGTTCAGGCACAGCGGTCAATGCTTTAACTTCCATGGCACTGGATGTGGTCGCCATCGGTGCTGCCAGGTTCCCCACACCTTGCAGGGGCTTCCATTTATTATCCAGGAGGCTGAGCTGGCTCTGTCCAGCCACCTCCCTCTTCACGACACTTTCTACAGTGCTAGCCGAGCTGCTGTCCGGTTTCCCCACCTCACCCACCGCTGCGCTTTCAGACACGCTGCTTTCCTGTTTTATCACCTCTGCCTCAGGATGCTCTGTCTGCGTTTCCTGCTTTACAACAATGTCTATCTCCGGGGTGTCAAGCCTTGAATTTCCTACAGGGGACGCCCCCTCCACCTTTGCTGGGGAACTCCTATCAGGAGTGCAAATCTCCATGTTGTCATCTGCTTGAAACACATCCTCCACTCCGGTTGGGGCACTTTCTTCAATATGCTGAACATGTCGGGGAGAACTGGCTTCATTTTCCTCAGTATTTAAAGCTGTGGGAGAAATGCTGAGTTTACTATTATCTTTAGCAGGCTGCTCAGTATCTGAAGAAACCGTTATTATAGTCCGTTTACCTGAAAGGTTGCTGTCTTCACAGGGCTTCTCGGTTTGCGGGATATTCTCTTTTATGGTTTCAGTGTTTTCAGGAACTTGTTTTTTCTCTTTTGACTCCTGGGTCACCTGCTTTTCATTACTCTCCTCCTCCTCTTCTTCACCAAATTCTAGTGGAGGCTGCCAGTGAAATGTCTGCTTTCGTTTCGGGACCTTGTGCTTTTTATCTTTTTTCCCTTTCAATTTCTCTTTCACTTTTTTGGTGTGTTCCCTTTTCAGATTTTCCTTTGACCCATGTTTGTGCCTCCGTGGCTTTCCTCTCGGGCTTTCTGAATGGCAATAGGACCCCTCCGAATCGGAGGTGGAGGGCCGCTGTTGACTTGTCTTCCGGGCACCATTGCCCTCAGGCAGCGAAATGTTTGAAGACTTTGTTGTGGATTTGGCTTTGACGTGAATGTCACCACACTCGGATTCAGAATCTGATGTGGCCTCACCCTCCTCCTTATCGGAAGAAGGCCGGGATTTATTTTTTCTGTTTTTAGTTACGTCTCGTTCAGAATTTGACTCAGAGTCCCATTTACTCCCAGCATAATTCTTCCTTTTGGGCTTACTGCCATTTCTAAAGTGATCAGAAAGATTCTCTTTCAAAGCTCTTTTTTTTGAACGAGGGCATTCCTGTTCGGGCTTGGATTTCTCTTCATCTCGGTTTTTCTCTTGTTTGTTATTCATTTCCGTGTGGGCTTGCTTCTCTTTTTCCTGGGCTGACTGTGTAACCTGAACACTTGACTGTTCACTGTCTGAAGAATAATCTAAGGATGACCTGCTTTCACTGTACTTTCTCTGACATGAAGATTTGTCTCTGCCTTTGACATATTTATTGCAAAGTGTCTTTTCGGAGCTGCTGCTGTGCCTTTTACTTGAAGTGTTATTTTTTTTCCCACTGGATCTAAATTTCCTCTTGGCTCGTCTTCCATCATCACTGCTAACCGAAGAGTATGAAGACAACCTACTACGCTGTGAGCGCTCGCTGTACTTATTTCGTGAATGAGATCTAGAAGAGGGAGACCTCGACCTTGAACGTGAACTAGCTAGACTCCGTGACCTTGTGTACGATCTGGAGTAAGATCTACTCCTAGAAGATCTGCTCCTTGACCTTGGTGAAGTTTCTGAACTTCTATCACTATATTTTGAATAAACACTCCGATCGCTTTCTGAATTTTTTTCTCTTTTATGGTAGGATGATGAACTACCAGTCTCTTTAATATTTGCTAAACTATAAGTGCTTTGGATGGGCAGCAAATGGGTTGTTTTCGCTTTCATTTCCTGAATTCGCTCGTAAGAGGGCTTCCAGGGCTTCTGTCCAGGCTTCCACCTTGAAGGAGGGGGACTGTCACTCAGTGGTATGACAGGAATATTTTCCGCCACCACTGGTTGCTGTACTATGACATTTTCATTTTGTGGCACTGGTGCTCTTAAAGGTTCTGTTTTAGCTGGTTTATTTTCACTTAACTGAGAGGCTGTTCTTCTTGGTGACTTTGAGGTGGTCCTTTGATGTCCTGACTTAGAACTAGATCTGGACTTTGACCTACTTCGAGAATGGGATGAGGATTTTGATGGAGTCCTTGATCTTGAGCTTCCTCTAGAATAAGACTGTGAGTGAGACTTTGATCTGTAGGAGTCTCTGCTGGAATGTGTTGAAGAGCTCTGGTCATCCTTCTCAGACTTAGACCAGTCCCTCTTTGATGAGCGATGGGATGATAATGAGGAGGAACGGGATCTCCTTTCTCTATCACAAGAGGATTTGGTTCGTCGGGTAAAAGATTTTGAAGATTCTATATTAGATGGTACAATAACCCTTCTCTTCTTAGTCTGCTTGTGTCTTCTGCAATGTTTTTGCTTTTTGGCTTTCTTTTTATGCTTAACCTTTTTCTCTTTTCTGCGTTTTTTATGGTGACCATCAGACTGTCTTGCTGTACTAAGGTCTGAGTAATATCCATTATAAGACCATGATCTGGATCTCTGGGACAAGCTCCTTTCATCCCATCGGCTTGAACAGGGGTCACTTAACCTATAGAAAAAGACATAACGTGCATGATTTGCAAGCATGTTTTCTACGCTCTAAAATTAACACACGTTTGTTGTCAATACAAATGCATCGACCAAGCCCAGTTAACAAAGTACTGACTCCATCAACACTTAAAACACGTTAGAGGGCCGGCCGAGTGGCACGATGGTTAAGAGCTGGCTTGGGATGCCAGAGGGCCCCGGTTCGGATCCCACATATGAGGGCCAGTGACACTGCCCTCTACAGCTAAGATGCTGAACAGCAGCTCAACCTGGAGCTGGGCTGCTGTGAGTCGCCAGCAACGGCGTAGGCTGCAGCCCCTGTGGCAGTGGGTTGCCATAAGCTACCATGTGTAGCCGGCAGCCAGCGTGAGCAGCCAGCAGCCGCAGTGAGTGGCCGTCCAGAAGCCGGCGACTGATCTGCCTCGCCCGGGAAGAGCGCAATGATGGTGCCAACTTGGGCCAGTGAAGCAACGTCCTCCACAACTAGACTGAAGAACAAAAGGGGAGCAACTTGTCTGTTCCCCTTCCCCTGATTCCCCAGCGCTGTTCCCCTCCCCCAATTCCCCAATAAAAAATCTTTAAAAAAAACAAGACCAAAAAAACACGTTAGAAATGATTAGTCAAAAGAGTGACTGGCCTGGTCTTGATCTTACAATTTCAGAGAGACACAGACAGCAGCTAACAGATTCACTTACAAAAGGACTTTTTTCAAAGCTAAGCAAAGAGTTTCAAATTTGATAAGAAAATGGTTTTAAAAACCAAATGAACTAATCACAAGAACAGTGCTGACACACTGGGTTCCCGGCTGTGACTAGCTCATAACCCTGCCTCCAGGAACATCAGGCCAAGTTCCCAAACAATTTTGTTGACTCTCTGCAGATTCAGGATAGCTTCCCGAACTAGAAGAAAAACCTATTTTGCTTAAGAAGAATATTGCTTTATCTCAGTCTCACAAAAGTAATCAAGACTTTCCCCTAAGGTTTAAACTACAGTAATGCCTTGGTTTGCGAGCATAATTCGTTCCAGAAACAAACTACTCGTATTGCAAGACATCGCTCGTTTACCACATTAAAATGTATTAGAAATGTCTGCTCGTCTTGCGGAATACTCGCAAACCGAGTCACTCGTAATCCAAGGTTTTACTGTACTTACTATGGAAAATGAGGAAAAAGTACATAAAAATAGATGCAGGCTTTACAATTTCAGTGGTAATGTCAGGGCGCAAACTCGAGTTCTCAGTACCACTGTGTCTAAACCACTGCCACACAGCAGATGCACACTTTTTCCTCTTTTCCAATTTCAAACACGATACAGGACACCCACAGCAAAAAGAGAATTTTATCATGAACGATTATAAAAGGTCCCATTGGTATATTTTCACTGGCCATTCAAGGCCAGCCCCATTTCTAAAACAGACATTACGCTGACAGTAAGAGATGGGTGCACTTATGTAGAAGCAACAGTTGTTGGAGTCAGAAGTTAATGCATACAGACGAGTAGAGAGTTTCTTATCTACCAATTCATTCATCAGTAACTAAGAGACCTGGCTACAAAAGTTCCTGCTATATAAATAAGTCCTGATTATTTCTCTAATTGAACAAGGAATCTTTCAGAGATTCAGTAGGTTTTCAGTCTTGTGAGAGAAAACAGAATTTTGATTTAAAAGCACCCCAAAAGCCAATCAGCTCTCCTAGTTAACAGCACTATTTTTGCCAAGTGTTCCCAAATGTATTCTCTGGTCACAGTCTAATTTAAATCTTTAATGAAAAGTCCAGAAGTCTCTATCCCCTTAACATGTAAAATACAGCAGACACAGGATTGGGGTGCACACTCAAAGTTCTTACTTGTCTCCTTTACTCCATTTTTCTCCACTAGGTGGTCTATACGCTCGTAATCTCTGCATTTCCTCTTTCCAGTGAGGAGGAGTTTCACTGCTATCGTCATCATCTGATTCGGAACAGGACCTTGATCTTGGAGGTGTGTGATAGCGCTTTAAAAACAAAGACAGGAATAATTATTTTTAAAATACCTCTCAATTCGTCTTCTCCAATCTCAGACCCCATTCAGAGGCAATAATGACTGAAGTACCAAAAGGATGATATGAAGTTATGTCAAACATAAGCACTAAAAGAAATGGGTACGGCTGAGATTTACCTGTCAACACACATGAAAATTTCCTCTTCAAAGTCCTAATGGTTTACATTCATCAGCCCAGATGAGTCAACATAGTTAAGATTTCTCAACATAGTGACTGTTCCACACGCTCATTTCATAGGTGAACCCATTCAAACACAAGTAAACTCTGATCTAACAGCAGTACCTTCCCCAGTTCTGAGAAACACAACAGGCTCCTTCCACAGATTTTGGACTACACCTCAAATTAAAGCTAGGATTTGGCCTACAGGTAAAAACATTTGACTGTTTAGGTAAGTAATTTGAAAAAAGAAAAGTCTTAACAAACATACAATTGTGCCCCTTCCTTTAATCTTCCGTCCAGACTTTGATACAGATGGTTTATGATCACTTACAATGGGTGTAACATCAGGAATCTTCCTGGAAAAGATGGAAAATGAAAAAGAAGCAAATGTAGGTGGTTCTCTCAATGTTTAAACGCAGAGTGTATGCTCCTATAATACAAAAATACACTTCATTTAGATCCAACACTTTGGTAGAATGTGGCATTCCACAAACTTAATTTTCTAAGCAAACCCTGAAATGCCAAAACTTAAAAAAAAAGGTAACACGACTGGGTAGAAATACACGATACTACTATCTATCTTTTTAAGCACGGTACTAGTTGTAAACAAAATCTTTTTTTAGATGTCTCTTGTCAAACAGAGATGTTCTAAGGGAATCCTGAGTTATTCCTGACTCTGATGCTTAACTGTGCTTTTTTAGTAGTTTTTCCTTTTACTTTATATTTTTTATAGTTCATTTGTCTCCACTTCTCTACTATAAACTGCCTCTCCTTTCAAAGAGCTGGATCTTCTGCCTCATCTTATGTAAAGCAATTCTAAGAGTTGGTTTTTATGGTGGCTACAGTTCTCCAGGCATAAAAGAAGTTATTTTTACACTTTAGTTTGTTTTGTTATCTGTTATTATTAATACAATGGCTCGCTTTTATCGAGTCCTTACTATGTGTCAGGCATTATTATGTTAACAAGCATTGTAAAAACACTCTTTTTAATGGGTAAAACATATATATAACATAAAATTGACCATTTTAACCATTTTTAAGTGTACCATTCAGCGGCATTAATCACACTCACAATGTTGTGCAACCGTCACTACTATCTTTCCAGAACTTTTTCTTTACCCCAAACCAAAACTCTACCAGTTAAGCATTAACTCTCCACCACCCCCATTCCCTCAGCCTCTAGTAACCTATAATTTATGGCCACATAACATTCCATTTTATGCATATACCACATTTGGTTTATCCATTCATCTATTGGTGGACACCTGGGTTGTGTCCATGTTTTTCCTCTAGTGAATAATGTTGCAGTGAACACTGGCATAGAAATCTTTGTTTGAGTCTCTAGTTTCAATTCTTTTGGATATACTCATATACCCAGGAGTGAAACTGCTGGGTTACATGGTATATCTATGTTTAATTTTTTGAGGAACCACTAAGCTGTTTTTCCACAGGAGCTGCAACATTTTACACTCCTACCAGTGATGAATGAGAATTCCAATTTCTCTGTGTCCTCACCGACACCAGTTTTTTTGTGTGTGTGTTTTTTTTTTAATTCTAGCCATTCTAATAGGTGAGAAGTGGTTATCTCATTTTGGGTTTGATTTGTATTTCCCTAATGACTAATGATAGCAGGCATCTTTCCACGTGCTCATTGGCCGTTTGTGTATCTTCTTTGAAGAAATGTCTATTCAAATCCTTTGCTCATTCTTAAGTTGAGTTGTCTTGGTGTTGCTGCTCATGCTTTTGGTGTCAAATATAAGAATCCGTTGCCAAATCCAAAGTCATGACGATTTACCCCTACGTTTTCCTCTAAGAGTTTTATGGGTTTAGCTCTTATATTTAGATTGTTGACCCATTTTGAGTTAATTTTTGTGTATGATGTGAGGTAGGGGTCCAACCTCATTCTTTTGCATTTGGAAATCCAGTTGTCCCAGTACCATGTATTAAAGAGACTATTCTTTCTTCTCTTAATGGGCTTGGCACCCTTGTCTAACATCAACAGGCTATAGATGTATGGATTTACTTCTGGACTCTCAATTGTATTCCATTGGTTTCTATGTCTATCCTTATACCAGTATTACACTATTTTGATGACTGTAGCTTTGTAGTAAGTTTTGAAAGCAGGAAGTATGAGTCCTCCAACTTTGTCCTTCTTTTTCAAGATTGTTTTGGCTATTCAGGGCCCTTGCAATTCCATATGAATTTGGGTACTGACTATTCCAATTCTATAAGCAGGTTGTTGGAATTTGATAGGAATTGCACTGAATTCATAGTGCACTTTGAGTAGTACTGATATCTTAACAGTATCAAGTCTTCCAATCCATAAACATGAAATATGTTTCCATTTATTCAGGGTCTTCTTTAATTTCTTTCAGTAATATTCTGTAGTTTTCATTGTACTAGTCTTTCTCCTCCTTGATTAAACTTATTACTAAGTATTTTATTCTTTTAGATGTTATTTTAAATGAAAGTGCTTTCTTAATTTTCATTTCAGATTGTTCATTGCTGGTTGTTAATAAGGGTTTTAAAGTCGTTAGTTCATTTAATACTCGTAACAACACTACGGGGTAGGTACTATTATCAAATCTCCATTTTGTAGAATTTTAAGGTTAAGAAGTTAAAAATCTTGTCCAAGGTCACAGGAAGAAATGAAACTAACTCTTATAACCATTATATAGGGTTTTCTAAGATTCCAGGAACATGGCTCCAGATAAACAGTGTTACTATATATATAAAAAAAATCTTAGCTATAAAGTATATTATAGTTTTTTCAGTCATTTCATATTCATGACATCACTTGATTCTCACAAGGAGATAACCAGGTACTCTTGGTAGGCAACTGTTCGCCCCACTTTCCTCATTTAGAAAATAAGCACTAAACACCAAATAACTTACAAACAGATGTTCAGCAACAATTAATGTTCAGGGGGTGGGAGGGCAGTGGATGGGGGAGGGGGGTTGTTACTTTGTGAGGGGTGTAAAGGATAACTACTGCATTGTTCTGTACACCTGAAACTAACAATAAAAAATAAAAAAATAAAGGGAGAATTAATGTTCACCTGGGAACGTTTCAGAAGCTGATCCAACACTGACACCCTGCTCCCTCCTCCCCACAACATTCTGATTTGAATTGCTGTATGGCCCAGAAATTGCTATTTTTAAAATAGCTTGCTAAATTAAAGTACAGCTGTGGTTGAGAACAAATGAACTCAAGCAAGTGTCAGATCCAGCTTCTGCTAAGCAAATTATACATGACAATGACCTTAACTGCTGGTAAATCAGTAAGGTAGCAACCTCACTATGGCTGGCAGTCCATTTCTTATCCTTGCATATGTTGAGTTCTTGAAGCACACTGAATTCCAGCTGCCAATCAACTGATCAAAATCTCAAAGATCCTAATAAAATAGATCTGCTATCTTTGTATAACACTATTACCAGTCAATCACGATTTACAATAATTGTACACAAAACACCTTCCAGAGATGTGACCCAAGAGTGATGACCAAATAAACTTATCAGCAGTATTCAATCACAAATGTAAAACAGTGGTGTAAAGTACTTTAACTACACCAGGTAACAGAGGTCGGCAAACTTTTTCTGTAAAGAGTTCACGAGCAGTTTAGGATTTGCAAGCCAAGAAGATAATTAAGGGTATTATGTAGGTACTTATAATAACATGAAAGAAAATAAATTTTCACAAATATTTTATTAATGAGATTCAAAATATAATATCTGAGTATCATTTTCTGTAATACGGATCTAATAACGAGAGGATTGGGATTCCTTTTTGAGGGGATAACATTTTACTTAATTAGGGTTCACAATTAGTGTTCCCCATTAAAATAGATGATGTTAATGCTGTTCATCTGGGAACACTGATCTGGAGTGAGATTTTACATATTTCATCTTTGAAACTATCTGTGCACATACGTGGGTTATATGTGTAGCAGGTGAACTACTGGAGAGTTGTAACTGCATCACTGACGTGTAGTGCACCAAGCAGCAGTGCAAAGCCATGACAGTACCACATACAAACTCTGTTGCAACTACTTGTTCACAAGAAAATTGTGAACAAATGGATGTGGCTGTGTTCCAGTAAAACTTTACTTATGAACATTGAAATATGAATTTCACATAATTTCTACATATCCCCAAACATTATTCTCCTTTTGATTTTTCCCCACAAACATTTAAAAGCATAAAAGCCATTTTCAGTTCATGGTCTATACAAAAACAAACACACAAACAAAAAACATGGTAGTAAGCTAAATTTAGTCCATAGACCAGAATTTGCCGATCCCTGCCCTCTGACACTGAAACTGACCTTTCAAATTTCCTACCTTCTGAAAGCCAAATAAATTTGATGAATGAACTTGATGTCTTGTATTTTAAGAAGGGTCCCACTAAAATTTATTCACAAACCAGAATTTTTAAAAATGAAAACATCAGCATGTTAAGCTATTAATGCAAAGACACATCTCATTTTGTAACAGCTTTTTAAAATGAGATAATACCAGGCTTTAAAAATATTTAATGAACTACATGATAGAGGACTGATTGTCAACAGGGAGATCTACATAACTTCTCAGCCTTTGATAGAACTCTTCACAGGAAACTTATCAATTACACCAGCAATATTATTATATTTCAGTTCACTGTACACACATTTCTTTTAATAATTCTAAACTTGAGTCTAATATACAAAATACATCGAATACTGTTTTTTTGAGAAGAAATCTAAAGCTACACATTAGGTTTTCCAATGTAGAGAGGTTATCATTGTGGAAGTTAATGACATTAACATATCTACGAGTATGATACTGAATTATATCCCCAACTGCTATGCAATTGATTTTGCACTATTCAAATTGGAACACATGTTTTATCACTCGATTGGATCCAAAGAGTTCAACTAACCCTATTCTGACAACCAAAATCTCACTTCTAATAAAAAGGAAATGAGACTAGTAATGAAATCTTCCTAAACCTCCAGGAAGAACTTGTCCCCTGACCAACTTGCCCAGCCCCGCTTTCCTACTAGAACGTGAATTCTGAAAGGCTGGGTGCATGTCATCCATTTATCTGATGTCTCCCACAGTATCTTTCAAGTGCTTTAACTACGAGTCATGCTCAATAAATGAATGTAGAACTGCAATGAGCTGATGGAACCACCAATCAGAAATGAAAACATAATAGGTTAACCATCCTACTTACGGTTCAGGTTCTGCTGTGACAAGGGGCATATCTCTTCTCAGTAAAAATCGGTTCTCAGGCACTGGAGGAATCTCTTCTGGGCGGACCACAGGCTTTTCCCTTTTAGCATTTGAGTCAACTGACCTTTTTTCACTGGTATCACTCCTCTCAGAGTGACTTAGAGAGAACAAACCAAGTCATCAATTAAAATGTGTAATGTTTGCATTTCATAGTAATAAAAGCACATAAAATTAGATATGAAATAGCAAAACTACTGATACCTTACGAGGTTCACGCAAAAGGTTTATACAATTTTCTCAAAGAACATCTAAAACATCAACCCAAGTGAAAACCCACAGTACTAAAAATGTGAAATGAAAACTGTCAAATGAATCCTAGCTTTTTTCTTTGAAGAGTTTCAGGGATTATTTTCACTTGAAAACACATAAATCTTTGCTACGAAATGTCTGTGCTACCCCTAGATTTGCCAGATTAAAAGTAAAAAAAATGCGATCCTTTTTCCATAATAGGTAGTAAAGCTAAGTTTATGGAGTTACACCGACTTTCCTTAATCCGGGGAGTTTGCTGTTTAGGTAGGAGTACACCAGGACTTCACACATACCCTTTAGGGCTCACTGTCTGTGTATTTCTTGGCTCTTCTGAACTGCTTGCTTCCTTTCGTCGCTTTTTAGAATGTTTAACTTTCGGCCTCCTCTTGTGTTTCCTTCTTCTGCTTCTCTCATGTTCAATTTCACTTTCTGAAGATGATGTTGAAGACGAAGAGGAATTTGAAGAGGAATCTGATTCTTCTGAATGAGTTGGTTTCTTCCTTTTTTTCTCAAAAACTTTGAAGAAATAGCAACAAAAATATTAGCGCTGGATTTCAGTACCTACCTTTCAGGGTAAAAAATGTGATTACCAAGTATTGTAAAACATGCTTTATGCATAGCAAACTAAGAACAAAATTTAAATAAACTTTTTTCAAGTTGATAATAGTTTGCTGGTGAGACTGTAAGGTTACAAAGCCCTTGCCTTCATGAACACTATATTCTAGTGGAGCCAGATAAGAAAATAAGTACCTGCATAGTATGACAAATGAGAAATGCTAAAACAGGAGGAAAAAAAAAAAAAAAACCAAACAAAAAAAACCACGGTAAAGGGAATAGGGAGAGTCCAGGGCGATTTCAGATAATATCTGAGCAGAGACCTGAAGGGAGCAGAGCGGGTCAGGCAGCTATCTGAATGAAGGGTGTTCCGGACAGAGGGAACGGCCACACAAAGTCCCCGAGTGCTTGCATGTCTGAGTAAAGGTCAGCATGGCTAGAAGATAATGACAATGAACGAGGGGGAAGAAGTCCGAAACAGCAGAGCCAGGCAGCCTCACAGACCACTGTGAAGACTTCAGCTTTGGCTGAGTTAGAGGGGAGCCCTGGATCACTCTGGTTGCTTTTAAGGCTGACTGCCGAGGGCCATAGAAACAAGGAGACCAGTTAGGAAAGGCTACTGCTGCTGAAGGAAGATTACAAGGGAGCAAGGATAGAAGCAAAGTGAACAGCTATGCGGCCAAGCCCCCGTGAGAGATACTGGTGGTCTGGACCAGGCTGGCCGCAGGGGAAGTAAAAAGAAGAGGTAAGGTTTGATAAAATCTGCTGATGGACTAGATACAGGGTATGACACAGGGGGTCTTGGGGCTATTGCTATACCATTTGTATTAGTTTTCCCACTACTGAAATCCAAGTTAAGTCTTCAACATGCGTTACCTGTATCCTAGCGCCGTTTATGCACCAAAAACTCTTACCATCTTTTGTTGATTTTGTGGCAAGCACCCCACAGTCAATGACTCGCACATCTGCATAAGGTCTGCTTGCAGCATCAGTTTTCAGATTTTCAATTTGTTCAATTACTTCAAAACCGGAAATAACTAGTCCAAAGACGACATGCACCCTGTCACAACACAAATTCAAGGAAGAATTGGTTTGCTGATAATTAAGCTATGAGGAGTAATCAAGACAATTGTTATAAATTACATGTCCATAGACCAGAAAATAAAAGCAAAGTATTTGATGTATGAGGCAATAGAAAGAAATTAGAACTGGGGGAAAAAACAAAACAAATTATTCAAACTGGGCCCTAGTTTTCTGACTTTAAAAACAATGGTTCTTAACTATTTTATGGTAAAGAGTCCTGTAACTGTCAGACTATACTTGATACTCAGAAACCATCCTTACAGGGTCGCCCAAGAGTACACGGCTGAGAAGCCCATCTATGGGCCCCGGTAAAGACCCCTTCAGTGACATGAGAGACACGGGTCTCGAGGCTACTGTACCCTGTGATCCTTAAGGAAGGGTTTGGCTATGAGAGATTGGCTCAGTGATCAAGAGTGTCCCCTTGAGGGTTCACCCATGGTCCATCTGTCTTGGACTGGCCACCCAAACATCTCCCCAAGGTAATAAGAACATAATTCTTACCCATCCAGATGCGGAGCAGGTTTTGTGGTACTGTGTAATAAACATCAACACAAAGACGGCCAAAACAGGTGTTCAGGTGAACAGAGTGGGTTTAAAGCACAGCATGTGGAGAACAAAAAGGTAAAGATAAAAGATAGATGAAAAAGTTAAACACATACAACTGAACTTAAAAAACCTTAAAAACAGCAATACTGTCATTTTACTGATTAAAAACCCTCAAGATTATAATGAATTATAAAATTGTATCTATTTCTCCAATATGAAGACTATATGTATACATATGAATTAAGCTTGAAATATAGACATTAAAATTCAAGTTACTCTCAAATCCAAAACAGCAACAAAAAACTCAAAATTTACCAAGAAAATTAAAAAAGGATAAAAAGTACCTATCATTTGTCCTACGGAGAGAAAAGTTAAATAGATGAGTTCTTCTATTTGTGTATGTGCTGCCTGAGCGCGTGTGAGCGCTTATGGTTTCTAACACTGAGTCAGTCTGCATCTTTTAGGCAGGCAGATGGGAGGGAGGCCTCCAGAATCCTGTTTCCAGAACCTCCTGCCCCTCTTCCTTCACCTGAGATGAAGCTCTGCCACTCACAGCAACTCTTAAAATGCAACAGGGAGCAAACCTTCCAACTGCCCACACTTCTGACAGCCACGTGAATAATGTTGTGTAACATTACAGACATTCCAAGTTCCCATGTCCCAGACAACACCCAACCGGCTTCTTCCACAGTCACAAACCGGCAGACTGGCACTCTTGGGGAGCCATGGGGCACATTTGGTTAAGATCTTTTGAACTCAAGCTGATTTTCCCATAGCATTTTCACAGATCTTCACACTTGTGAATTGTAGTGAAAAAAAATCGAAAGAAGATATAACTAGACTCAGAAGTGTACACCACAAACATCTTAAGTTTATGAGAATGAGAAATAGATTTGAGAGAAAGGTCACTAGAGATCAGGCCATATTAAAGCAGTTAATTGTATTAGAAGCTCCCATATCAATTTTTATATTCATTTTTAAGGCAATTCTAAGACATGTAAGTAAACAAAATACAATTTAACCTTCACAATGCTAAAAACTATTCTACGAAGAAGTGTAACACTTACACTTACATTAAGAAAATTCAATTTTGTAAGACCACTACATAATTAATTTTAAAAAATTAAAATGTCAACTTAAGAAGTTCCAGAATTTTAAAGGGAATCTTGAGTTTTAAAACCACTAGTCTCAAATATTCCTTAGAAGATTGAGAAGTGGTAATTCAAGCCAATGTAACAGTAAAAATGAATAAGAACAGTGAAAAGAAAAAAAGAAGAAAAAAGAAAATCTAGCAAACTGGTGAGGCACTAATGCTTAAATTATTAAACTAACATCCAGAAACTACCTTGGACAATAACTTTAAGGAAGAAATGTGCTTCCCACAATAAAACTTTACCAAAGCACGCTAAAGTGGAAAGAAATCAGTCCATACGCTAGACAGTGATTCCACTGTATGAAAGATGTAAAGAGATTAAAAATTTTAAGGTAAAAATGTTCTACAATGTAAGGGATCAATCAGTCTTAAATACGTAGCAGTGAAAACAATGAATAGTGTATTGATTAAATGTATTCATCTTCCTTCCATGATGCTTTCTCTCACAACTCTCAATCTTCTGGTATTAGGGGAAAGCCTCCAGATTTTCCTAAAACACACAGAGCCCAATTCAATTTGTCACCTTAGCTAATAGGAGTGCTGTAAAAACCATCTTATGGCAAACCTTTGGAGCAAATGGTAAGATTAAAACATTTTAGCTAATTGCAGTGATGTAGCAACATACTACTTGAGACTCAATTGGAAGACAGAATAGCTACCTCAATGACAGATTCCTATTTTGTTTTTAATTCAAATGAAAACTGAAGACAAATGAACTTGGTCCCTTATTGAGATAGTGAAGAAAACAACTGAAGACAGCAACAATTCTTTCAAGGACAAATTTCAGCTGGCCCGCTGTGCTTAAACTGGTATAAATAATTAAGTCCAGTACTCACATCTGCAATTCAGAATGCAGAAATACAAATGCATACTATCCTTCAATGGGTTAGACAACATATTAAGAATACTGAAAGGATCTTGACAAAAAGAAGTGCTCTGGGGTTCTCAGGATTTCTACGTTCCAGGAGTAGAAATCACATTGTAAGGCAGGCGTACTGGCACCGGGCTGACACAAGACATGGACAAACAGAGGGTGTTGCCAAATGGGGTTACAAACAGGCAAAGGGGAATGGTGTGTTCAGTTCCACAAAAATGGACAAAGAGATCTCACCCCAACAACGCTTAACTGTATTGAGCTTTCAAAACGATACAGTTGCAAAAACCCATGCAGTGGTGACATAAGCTCAGTAAATTAGACCTTAAGAAGGCCAGAGACTCTCATAAACATGTTCATGCTTATAAAAACACACATACAGGAGAAACAACCACAAAGAACATTTCAAATTACAAAAGCTTTCAATATTTTCACATTTCAATTTTCTCCTGTCATTTAAACACTGATTTTCCAGTTCTCCCAACCCTTGAGTCTATTTTAAAAATATATGTGCAAGGGTTCATTTAAACCTTGTAGATCCTAGAAATTGAAAAGTGTCGTTGTTACTCTGTACGTTTTTACACCATTATCAAGGAAGCTTTTGGCCTTATACAGAAATGAACAGTTCTGTACTGAAATGAGATCTAAAACCCTTATATATAATACAACACTCCCATTCTGAAGATGTGTGAAAACTTGGTGGAAATAAATCACTGAAATTAAAACGTACTTCCCAGGATTAACCATGAACAATAAAACACACTTGTTTTTACATACATGTATTGCTGCCACACAGATCAAGCAGAGTTTTTTCTTTTCTTAAAATTGTTCAATGCACATAACAATAGGATTAAAGAGATAAAGGCAAAGAAAGAAAAAGAGAGAGAGCCTTAGAGTAATGAGACATTACCTTTGGAGGGCACGGTGTAACACTCTTTCTGTAAATTTTACACAAAAATGGCAAGAAATAAATTGTAATACACTTTTAAGACAAGACTGAATCTATGTTTTAATATCAATATAACTTTGAAATTAAATATTTTCAAATTTTATGCAAAGCAAGAAAGCTTTTCAAAATGGAGGGCTCTAAATTTTCTTTCACATAGGCATGTATGTAGAGATGACTTATGCTTAAGAAAAGCGTTGTGGTTGAGAATCTGCTCAGATCCTGGACACTCTAACACCAGACTGTGAATAATAGCTATTAGCAAAACAGTGCATTGTGCTTCACAAGTCCTAGAATCTAGCTACAACTATAGTCTTTCTCAAAAAGAGAATAATGTATCCTGAGTACGTACATGAACATAAACCTGAATGCCCAGGAGCATTTCACACCGGTGGAAAGCAAAGATTTCAATGGGAAGAACTGAGTTAAGAGAATTCAAAACAAACAAAATTTCAGGGAACTTCACTAATTCACTTCAAATAGTTAAAGACCTTTTCATGCTTCTACATTTGAAAACTTTCTTCAGTTACACATCACAACAGACCACTATCAGAAGGTAACGAGCAAATGTTTGGACTATAGTTACTGTTCGATGCCACTGTATATACACTTTGTAGATGTTAATCATGGAAAATAATAATAAAAAATAACAAAGCAGCATGACTAGAATTTTAATGACCTTCTCAAAAGAGAAAAAGGCAAGAGAGATGAAGGTATAAGATATGCTGTCAATCTTGGCCACAGCACTTCCTTTTCCTGTCCTCTGATTTTCCCCATTACATTTTTTTTGTTCAAAGAATATATACTGTCTGACCAATTTTAACTCTATTATACTTTAAACATATCTATTACTACTCAGGCCCAAAACCATATTATATACAGTAGACAGAATTCTTTATAGGGGTTTTGGACATATTAAATATTGAAATACTTAAAAACAAGCTTTAATTTCTTGTAAATGCATTGATACATGAATTACTGTAAAAAACACACAATGTTTCAAATAATGTGGTGTTTTCGATGAATGTAAAGAAAAGTGACTCTAGGTGTAAAGTAGCATGGGTGAAAGAAACAAAAGATCACCGATTTCTGTCTAATTAGCCTTTAACATGCAATTTTTCCCTTCCACTCCCGAAACGATCACACCATCATGGAAGATGCACCGGACTGTACAGAGTGACAAAGCTTGTGTGAGGGCAACAGAAACTAACCAAGCCACGTTACAGTGCTCTGCGTGTGTGTTCCAAGTCACCAAATAGAAGAGCTTTCAAAAACTCAGCGCTGATGTTAACATAATACACACCAATACACATCACATACATACTAAGTAACATTAAGACTGAATGTTAGAGATGACACTTGATATTCAGAGAACTTGGCTTATGGTTAAGTTTCATGAACATCTTTGTTCATGAAAAGTCTTGAAATTAACATATGAAGGCAACACCCAAAGAAAACAGAAGGAAAAAGCTAGAATTTCTTGGGTTATTAACACTTACTAGTATTTCTTCTCACACTAATTTCATGAATATGTGGAGGGAAAAGGCATTTCTACCCAAAACTACTTTTGCTACCCAAAACATTAATACAGCTTTATAAACCCCTTAAAACCAAACCCCCCAACTCCCTTTGCTTCACCACTCTGCAATGAGCAGCCTTTCTCTGCCATTCAGGTAAGCAGCCTCTTGCAAGTCTGATTCTTAAATGACAGAACACATTCTTTTGTTTCCTCCCATAGTCCTATTTACGACTGTGAAAATATAACAAACACTTTTTGGTTAAAGCCAAGTTTGACTTTTCTGTGTTATTTTGTTTTCGTATCTTTTTAGAATCACCAAGACCACCGACAGTGGCCAATCAGAGACAGCTCTCCAGAGCTGGCCAGGTCTTTCTACTCACTCCACGGTTGTGGCACAAGGGCTGCACAGACTAAGAGTGTTCTGACAGCAGCGGATGAGGAGCCTGCTGCTGTCCTGATTTAGGCAAGGTGAGCCCAAAGCTTCTCTGCAGCACCTTTCACACTGATGAAAATTGGGCAATTACAACTATTTCCTTTAGGCAAGACAATGTTTGCATATAAATCACTCCACATGTTCAGAAACTTAGGATCAACCTACGAAACTTGCTTCTTTTTATGTTTACATTTTCATACTAAAATATGTACCTTATTTTAGAAAGTGGGGTAGATACTTTATAAATAGAAAACACAAAACTAACTCAAGGTATATAGTAAACAAAACTAGAACCAATGCCTCCTGACATCTAGGTTAGTGCTCTAAGCCAGGAGAATAGTTACTATAAAGCTATGAACCACCTACCGAATCTTTTTCATGACTACTTCATGCAATATCTTCTTTATCTTTTTTATGTTTACAAAGACAATGAAAATTAGGGCCAGAATTACTAGACTGTTATGACTAACAGCCAAAGGAAAAGGAAAATGTTTTCCTGTGTTGTCATTTTATTTTCCAGTATCGCCTGATGCTTCTAACGCCTAATTAAAATAACTTCAGAGCGGAGTGGTCAATAGATTACATAGCTCACAGTTGTGCAGCATTCTTTTTCCATCAATTTCTTCTAGATTATGAATAAAATATCTATAACCTGCACTTGATATGGTTTTTCTTCTTTATTTCGCACGATATATAGAATGAAAAAGTTTGACTAGATGATCTCTAAATCCTCTCCACTCTAAGACTTTATAATTCTAAAGCTTTTATTGTGGTTTCTTCCTAGTCTTTGGCTTAAAACAAAAAGAACAAAATGACTAAACACTGACTAACTTGGTTACTGCCTTTAAATTCCTTCAAAAAGACCTTAATATGAACCGTTATTTCCTCAGTGATTCATGGAGACAGTGCCGTGTATCACTTCTTTCATGTTTTTTGAGCAGTACTATTCCAAAAAGAATCAGTTTTCTTCTATTTAGGACCCCCAAAACAAAATCATTATAACTAATACAGTAATAGATTTAAGCAGTTATTGCAAAATTTCAAAGAGCTTCGCAGAAGAAAACCCGATGCTCATCAACTGTTCCACCCAAAGAAAGCAATCTATGCAAAATTATGTATAATAAAAATGATGCATGCACAGGAAGGGAGGCTCTAAACAGGTCAGTAATGAAGACAATAGTTATTGCACAAAGCACAAGAACCCTTGAGGAACATTTTGAAAACAGTCACACTAATAGCACCAAATTTACTCCTTAGGAATTGCAAAGTAACAGATTTAGAACACAAAACTACAAATACAATTTGCAAGAATATATTAAAAGCCCATATAAGCCTCTAAAACAGGAACCATAAAGGCAGTTCTTGGCATTGTACTATCCATTCTTCCGCTATCCTTTCTTATTCAAACTGCAGAACTGCTGCTCACGGTGCCGTGGGAAGAGGGTACAAGCCCGGGGAGCCACCAGATAGTTCTGCGACCACAAACCCTCAAAACCTCAACTTCTGGATCTATCATCTGTGATGAGGTACACAACTTGAAGACAGTGCATTATACTGTTTTACTACTTCCGACTTCAAAAGGATTTGGATTTGTAAGACATGGATTTTCAAAGATTGTTTTCTTTTATGAGAAAAACCACCTCCATTTTCCCTATCCTTTCTATAAAAGCAAGGAAATGTTTTGTTTAGAAATGTGAACGTTTTATTTTTACACTGCAACCCATGAGGAACTGGTACTTTTAGCCAGTAATAAAAAACCAGTCATAAAACCTTCTCAAAAAAAAAAAAGAGATGAGGCTTTTCTTGGTGCAAAAAACACTCTGTTACCTCCAAAATTACTTTTAACTGGAAACTCATTTCCAGAAGTAAATTTCTAACTAAAAGTAGAAGATTTTCTTTTAATCACAGGTTCACAGTGATTTTAATGCCATCTACAGTCAATTATAAAAACAAGATTAAACATTTTAATCTTAATTTACTGATGTTAAAATTTTGATTTGGCTTTCCTTATCAAAAACAGCAGTCTGCTGTAAAATTAAGCAATAGCCTTAATTCTGTTTTAATACTAAACATTCTTAGGAAAGACTTAAGCAAGTACTAAGTAACACAGAAACAAGACACTAAGTTTTTTGAAGGGAGAATCTCATATACTGGATTTTAATTCATGTATGTAGGTGCACCAGTTGTAACTCGAACATTTTATAAACAAGCTAATTGGCAAGCAACAATGGGAAGAAGCTGCTGCTACCTGATAAATCAAATTTTACATGTACTAATATAAAACAAGGAAATCTAAAAGAAACTTTAGAGCCCTCAGATGGTAGCTTCTTGACCAATGAATCATTAGTTTATCATGTTCAGTTCAGATAAGCTTAAAAATGGAAATGGGAAAACTCAAACAGAGTAAACAGCTTCTATATTTAATTACCAAATAAGAAGCTTTTCAAAATATTTCCCGCTACTTTTTTTGGCCCTGAAGAAGATAAAGAATAGAAAAACACTCTATAAAGAAGTATAATAAGTAATATTTTCTGGGATCAAAACAAGATATAGGAATAACTGTTTAAGGTCTTCCTTTTTTCCTGTACACTCCAAGCATTACCATCTTCTACCAGCTTTCCATTTTTAGGACATTCTTTGGAGCAGAATGCCCCTTATCTGAACTTTATCAGATCATGTTGGACATCTATTTTTCAGACAAGTTGAAAATGAGATTTATTATGTATGAACTCCTTTAAGGACAGGGAAGCGCCATTCATACTCATCCATTCAGAAAGATGATCTCCCCAAAAAATTGTTTTTCTGATAAACCATAGATAAAATACTTCTCCAATATACATAGCACAATTGTAGAGATTTACTTCCAAGCTAAATCCTTGAACTTTATGCTAGACAATGATCTTTCATATTTTATAGCATGGGATTATAATAAAAATAGGTTTTAGAGTAGCTGTAGATAAGAATATAATTAAAAGTATGCCAAAGGTCTCTCAGATGAGAAATAAGTGAAGTTTTGGTTGTGTATGCACATAAAGGTATTTATTTTTTTAAAAGCAAATGTAGCATCCTGAAATTTCCTGAGTGATAATCTCATAAATTTTGGTGGAAATGACAGCAACATTGGATTAATTCAATTATGCACGGAAATCTCATAAGGTTTGAGTTTTTTAAAATGCTGGCTCGACAGCAAATCACATATTTCTATATAGTATCAGGAACTAATGGTATCTCTCTCAAATTGGCTCAGAGAGCAACAGTAAGAGAAAAAGCAACCATACAATGGTTTATTCAAAACAACTGTTTTCCCATGTCAAGGGTACATCTAGTCCTAGTCAATGAACAACTTTTAAATGTTCATCAATAGCTTATGTTCCAATCCAGCTTTGGTAAACCGAGCCCCTAAATTTGTTAAGAATCAAAGCCAATTCCTTTTCATAAGATAACATATTTTTAAAATAATGTACATCTTTAAGTTACATCTTTTAAGTACCATTCTTCAAATCCAGGATATTTGCTGAACGCTGAGGTGGTTGCCAGAATTTATCAGTTACTGTAACATTAGAAATTAAAAATACAACCCAAGTTGACAGAATTCTAGCATTAAACTTGGTTTAACTATAACATCTTTCTCATGAACAGCGCTTCTCTGTTTAAGAAAAGCTCATCTCTGAATTATGCCTACTCACATGAAAAACTGGGAACCATTGGTATGTTTCCCTCGATTTGCCATTGACAAAAGGAACGCTCTGTCATGTTTGAGAATAAAGTTTTCATCTGTTTGAAGAAAACACAAATTCGTCAGTCTCCAGTTACAAGCCACTTTTAAAGTATAACGTTCACAGAAATAAATAGAAAGCAAAGGATGAAATTCCTCTTCTGGTCAGTACAGATACTTGACTGAATATTTAGAAAAAACATTTTTAACTAACCAAATAACAAAAGAATAAAATGACCAAAAAACACTACTTAAAGCCTTGAGGAAAAGAACATATATTTAATACTTTATACAAACAGCCTTAGAACAGTCACTTTTAGTAGTAACATATTTTGGCTAAATAATATTTACACTATAACTTTCAGGGAAAACTAGTAAAGAAATTTTAGAAAAATGTCTAGTAAAGCTCATTTCCTCCAAATTTCCAATTATCCTGCCTAAGGCACTATGCATGAGAGAAGCTTAATAATCCTCTTATGTGCTTAATTTCTATATGGTAAATTTATTACTCGGCTGAATTGAAGCTAGGCTATGACAGCAAAAAAACCCAAAAAATTACATAAATTAAGTTGTAGGGACGTGCCTAAATTAAGTATATGGATTCCTTCTAATCAATAGGATCACAAAATTATCTAAGAAAGAGACCAGTAAGAACAACATAAATGGCAAAATACAATTTTAAGATACATAAGTATCTGCCACAGGGAGTGCCACACTGAAGTGGCCGACCAGTGTTAGTCTCAAAGCTGCATGCTAATAGAAGCAGCTAAAGAGCTGTTTCTTACTAGTTCAAAGGAAAAACTCCATCATAAAGATCACTTAGAGATTATTTTCATTCCAGCATAAATATCTTGAGAATTTAAATTTCCTTTTAACATTCATACAAACAAATCTTTCTTTAGAACAAACAGAAACATAGAAAACTTTAAAAAAATGATTACCTTGGGAACAGGCTTCTGAAAAAGAGTAGTAATCCATTTTCCCCCAAAAGAAATATAAGAGACTATTATAACACTGAAACTATCATGGCATTAAAACCTAGTCATGTTGGATCCCATTATAAATCTCTGCAACTGACTTTTCTAAGGCTTTTTGGGGCAAGTGCAATAGTTAGATTTATGCAAATGCTACTACTGTAGGAATAATACACAATCATATAGTTCTAGTATACAAAAGAAAACATACAAACCTTGAAGAGAGGAAGAAATACCAACTTTTATTCAAAGAAATTGCTTGGTTTAAGAGAAAAAAAAACAACAACAACACAACCAGATTCTTTTCCCTGATGTGGAACTAATAACCCATCAGGAAAAGAAAAGAAGATACAGATGCATGTATAAAACAGTATACAAAATTTTCCAAGTCTTCAAGCAATATTGAAATCCAACCACAACCTGACCCAGACTGTCCATAAATTTATTAGGAAGGGTGCAAGGGAACAGAATTGGAGTTTGTGTTACTGAGCTTCGTTCTCTTACCTTTTCATTTTGCAAAAGACCACATTCTCTATAAACAAAAGAATATGTTGACAGTTTTAGGCAGGAAGATAGGAGTTTTCATGTATATAGTTGCCTAACCTCCATGCTGAAAGTCATGTTTAACCATAACGTTAGCCTTAATTAATCTTGTCAATTAAAAGTTATATATATTACAATATAATTTATCCCCAAGTTCATGCAAATAAAGTATTTTCATGCAGCATTAGTTTCATGCAAAAAGTGAACTATAAGTAAACCTCTTCTCATTAAAAGTACATGATCAAACGTCCTTTAATATCAGAACTGAAACAAGAGACCATAAAATATTAAGGCTTACCTTTAAAATAGCCACCATAAATTGATTCTCCACCTTTTCCATTACCTGCAAATAATGAGCTATATTAAACTATAATGAAAATTGAAAAATATACTAATACATAGAAATTATTTATGGTTTCAATTTGCTGAAGGAGATAACGCCTTGTAATTGTTGCAGATAATCAAAATTTTAGCAATCCTCAATTAACCTCATCTTTCAAATAGAAGTACAACCCAATTACAATAAATACTATTAAAATAATTATCTCCATAACTCATGTATTTCAAACAGTAAATCACACCAATAAAATCCTAAAAGAATAAAACCAATTGAACAGTACTTTGGCACTGTCATAAGGTAATTCACCAAGTAATTACAATATTATTAAAATTGCATAAAAACAAAATAAAATGTCTTAGTATTTTGCTTTTTCATACATTCTAGGTCTATAACATTCATTCATCCAACAACTATTCTTTGACCACCTAATATTTACATCATACTATAAGTGACACGCTATTTACAATTAATATTAGAAACTGACAGATGGAGTTACTAGAGCATAACTTTTAGCTTTACCTTCACTGAAGTCCCCACCCTGAATCATAAAGTTTTTAACCACACGATGGAATGTAGAACCTTTATAACATAACTTCTTCCCAGTTGTTTTCCCAAGGCCTTTCTCCCCTGGAAAAAAAAAGAAAGGAAGTTTGGCTACAACAACATCCTTCCATGGAAAGCATCATCCAATTAATCCTTTGTCAAATCCCTCCTGTGTGTTGGGCACTGCAAGAGACACAAGTACAGTGTGACAATTTCACACACACACACTCTGAAATAAATAATACAAAGCAGCATATAAATGTTAAATTGTGTTGTACAGACTCCACATGCTACAGGAGAAAAGATTAGAAGTGGTTATCACTCCAATAAAAGACTGTAATCAGGGAGTTGGTGGAAGATTGTGTACGCATGTGTGTGTGTATCCAAGTAAGGATTTTAAAATTTAATTTGCGATTTCTATTTTGAAAGTAACTATAGATATTTTTTTCTCCCCATTTTTCTATTTTTTAAAAATATAAATCCAATTATATATAACAAAGAATAACTTCAGTATATTTTGCCTCTCCATCTTCTAATCCTAAATTTCTTGTGAAATCTGGAGTGCTAAATGTGTTCAGGTACTGAAATTTGTAAAGTTCTACCAAAACATGTCAGTTTTGAAAATGTATAGAGAAGATTTCATTACCTACATTTTGTTTGTTTTGTTTTTGTGTTTTTAGCTAAGCCATCCTGCCACCTGTTGGCAGCTCAGCGGCAGCTCAGCGGCAGCTCAGCTCAGGCCAGGAATCGAACGGACAACTCTGCTGTCATTACCTACATTTTGAGACCATTTCTTTCTTCTCTCTTCCCTTTAAGAAATGCTTCCCTGATTTCATATCAATGAAAATATTTTCTATTTGTTAAACTCATTTCACAATCCATTCGTTTTTAAGAAAATATCTATTCTGTTAAGGTAAAACTAAGCCATGACTTATTGTTGGAAATAATAATTCATTTACCTGAGCATAGGCAAAGGAAGTTTTTGCATGTTTTTGGACATATGTCTGAGAAGAGCTGAAACATAATGCGACCAACTGAAACAAAACACATGAGAAAGAAAGGGAAGCAAGTTGATTAAATATACCACATTTTATATGAGAGAAAATACATAGAATCAACAAACTGGAAAATCCATTTTTGTAATTCATTTAAGTTTTTTAAAATATTTAACAGGAAAGTATTTAACTGGGCAATACCAACTAACAAGAACTCCACTGTATTTGTGAGGATTAGAATTCACATGCAGCCAGAGTGGTTTCAGCCCTAAAAGAGTAGGATTTTAAGTGTCTTTTGAAGGGGCTTATATTATTAGATCCCTTTGAGTACAGCAACATTCTTTAAAAATACTCTCCATAATAGTTGTCCAATCTATGTTTGGCCCTGTCTAGTAATGAGAGCACATCCTAAGAGTCACTCTGGCCAGTACTGTTAGAAGAAAGTTCTTCTGTCCTCAACATTTAGGGAATATTCTACCTTTATGTAAGAACTGTTTAGAGATAATTTCCTGAAATGCCACTCACAACTATTCTATTCCCTGAGACAGCAGAAAAGAGACTAGGTTATAGTTCCTTAAAAACAACAACACCCCTACAATAAACAGGAAATGAGAAGCAAGTCTGCAAACTCGATTGAACTATGTCATACAGAAGTCCTTCACAAACTTTGTGGTCTTGGGACTCCTTTAAACTCTTAAAAATTACTGTACTTTTAAAATGTGGGTTATATTTATTGCTATTTACCGTGTTATAAATTAAAAATCAGCCATTTTTAAAACACAAGAATACACAAACACATATTCCATCAGAGCGGTGACATCGTTATATATTGTCTCCTGAGTTGACGAACTCTGCTGAGGCCTCTTTGGAAACTAATGCTGCTTCTGAATGAATAATAAGATCTCAGGAATATTGGTTACTCAACACTTCCTATAATTTAGTGGGATTTAATAAACTTTCAGAATCAGTCATCACAGTCAATGTTATTTTATATACACTAAGATTTCTTCCCAAGAATTGCCACTATGCCAACAAATACACTGCTCTATAAGGGTAAGACTAAAATCTGAAGCTGGTTAGTGTAAGCATTAGTATGGTGTTTTTAAGGTAAAAAAAATATATGGCTAAGGACAAAAATAACAGAGCAGGAATGGCTTCTGACCTCAATCCCAACATACCAACATTCAAATCCTTAAAATAACTAAGACAAGGAACAATACGGAGATTAATCAGGTAATATCACACATTTAAACACTGGTTACAGTCAGGAAAAGCCAACACGCCTATGTCATGTTGTAAATCTGATTTGGCCACTAGGTGGCAGGAAGAAAATCAGCAAGCACCCAGAATCTGGATAAAATCAAACATCATCTTTCAATATTGTTACTGTTCCCTGTGCTGGAATTGCAGGTGCAATGGTGAGAAGGGAGACATATATTATGGACATAAAAGATATGTCCACAGTTGTAAAAATGAGCACTGGCTGGAAAAAATATTGTAGGAGACAATACACTATCCAAAGCAAAGAATTTCACATATACAATTACAAGTAAGGGACAGGATAAGAACAAAGGTAGGAACAGATCGTACTGGGAAGGCAGAGAGCAAAATCTAAGAGGAAATTCTGGGATTAAGCATTTCAACAAAATCAGGCCATTTACTCAAACATTATTTACTAACATCCTCCCCACGAATCAGGTTGCCCAATAGAATGTAAGACATAGTGCTCTTTTGGGGGAGCTCACAGCTTAGCTGGGAATGACAGACACAAACGGCTCCACAATACGATGAGCTATCAGTGGTATGAATAAAGTGCACTGATATCCAAGCGGGGCCTGACTGATGTGTGTGAGGGCGAGAGGACGGGAACCAAGTCTGTTTGGCTCAACACTCTATCCCCACTGCTTTGCACAGTGCCTGGTACAGAATAAGTGCTCAATAAATATTTGAATAATAATTAAAAACACTTGAAACAAAATTATTCAAAGATAGAGATTAACAAAATATGAATGAATACCTAAATTTACAGATCAAAAGTATTTATATTACCAGCAAAAGTTATTACAAATGGAAAACATCAAGACATAGCTTAATAAAATCTATCTATTTTCAAAGACATAACGGAAAAGAATTTTTCTAGCATCCAGGTAATAGAATTATGTCACCCACAAAGAAAAAGAAATCACAGTCTAAATAAAAACCAACAAGGGGTATAGTCAGTAAAAGAAGGTATTTCCTCATATTTCATAGGGGGAGTCAACAGAGAGACTAATACTTAAATGTAATCACCTGCAGAACTAAAAATATGTTAAATGTCTTTCAAATGACCGTGGTGGAGCAAACCAAGTAAAAAAGGTACAAAACACAGGAAGTAGTAAGAAAACATAAATAAGATAGAAGACCAAAACAGCTCTATAATTATCCAGGCACATAAAACTTTTTTCATAACATGTCAGTCAACATCCAGCCTAAGGTATCCTGCAGATAGTACAAGTAAAAATTCAAAAGAGAATTTTTTGGCTCATGTAGTTAGTAGACAAAGATACTGATGCAGATTCCAAGATCTGTAAGAACCAGGATGTTGGAGATTGAGGTCAGATCTTAGAGCTGCCAGGTCTCACAAGGCAAAAAGTGTTGAATGCCACCACTTCTTTGTCCCAATCCATACATATCTGTAGTCCTAAATATTTTCATCAATAAATCAGACCAAAGATAAATTAATCACTCAACTCAGGAAGATAAAAATAAAAAAACTAAAAAAATATAAAAGTTTTAATAAAAGTAAAAGCAAAAATTCATGCATTAAAAAAGCAGAAAGATATTAGACTTGGTAAAGAAATCCCAAAGCTGGCTCTTTTGAGGAGAAAACAAAATTAAAGAGGAATACCAAAATTTAGAAAAAAGAATTGTAAGTATGGATTACAACTCCATGCTGATACACACTGAAAAACAGACCTAAGAAACTAAAATGCTTTTAAGTAAATAGCCAAGAGTGCTGTTCAACAATTCTTCAGATATGAGTAAATCACTTCTAACCTTCAAGTAACAGTAAAGTGTAATGTCATCGCAACAATTTCAGAGCACAGCAAAAGATGAAAAGCTTAACAAAGCTTATGAAGCAAATTAAACTGAAACCAAAGCCTGAGAAAAATGATATAAAACAAAAAAGAAATCCTATACATCAAACTCATTTTTAAAAAGATACTATTGGCAGAGACTTCCAGTAAGATGATGGAATAGGCTGATGCTGTGCGAACTGCCTCCCAGGATCACACCAAAATTACAAATAATTTATACAACATTCAACCTCGGAAGTCCCCTGAACACTAGATGAACAGAACCTCTAAACAAAGGACTTAAAGAGGAGGCCACGTCAAGTCTGGGAGGGGTGGAGATGAGAGAGGGTGAACCCTGTGAGAGACACACCTCAGCGGTGGGGAGGCTTCTCCAGTTGGGGGAGGAGGCCTCCGGCCCCACACCGAGCTCACCAGCCCAGAGTTACTTTGTAGGGAAGAGGGGTTCTATGATAGCTGGCAGCAGAAATTAGTGAGGACTCTCTCTGCTCAATTCGGTGAGGCTGAGGGTGGCTAGAGAACCAGTGAAGCCGGCACACGGGCTTGCTCGCTGGTGAGCACTCACCCGGTCCCCGGTGGAGGGAGTAGCTGTGTGAGAGGGGCCCAGAAGCTGCAGGGAAGGACTGAACTGACTGCCTTTGGCATGGGAGCTGGAGGTTTTGGGACCCTTGTTCCCCTGGTGTGGAGCTTGCACATGAGTAGTGCACAGGAGGGCGCCATTTTTTCAGGGTTGGGTCCTCCCATAGAGGGTCAGGTCTGGGACCACATTGGTCTGGTAGAATTGGCGCAGGAGTGTGTGTGTGTGCATGTGCATGCGGCCTTGGGTCCCCACCCTCCGCACTGCTTGTGCTGTGTAGCCAGAGAAATGCCTGGTGGGAGTGCTCCGGCTCCAACAGGCTGTTCATTGAGACGCGGGAATACATGAGCCGCCTTGGGTCCCTGCTCTCTGCGCTGCCTTGGGTCCCTGCTCTCTGCGCTGTGAGTGCAGAGTTGCCAGGCTGGCGATTGGCTGTTGGGCTGCTTGGCCTGATTTGCAAGTGACTGACTGGGGCAGGCTGAGAATAGTTTTCCTGGGTGTGCAGGGCCGTGAGCTGTTCACCTGCATGATCTGGGGCTTTCCTGGTGGGTTTGTGCAGGTTGGCTGCCGGTGCAGGAGTGCATGCTGCTCGGACTTGGTGGGGGCCACTGACCACATCCTGTGGTGCCTTGGGGACCTGTCCCGCCCACCTAGAGCTGTGTTGCTGGGAACACCCTGAGCCCCTGGTGCCAGGCCCCCACCTCTGCAGGCTACAGAGGGTTTTTTGCAGCAGCAGACAGCCCGTAACAACCTGTGAGGATTTTTGGTGGTGAGCACGGTTCCAGAGCACACAGCAGCTAATTGCAGGAAGCTCAATGTAAGCCTGAGAGGGAGGCTGGCACATGATTTGTTGAGCCCTTCCCCCCAACAGCTGGTGCTGAATCACCCAGTCTCTCTATTGCTGAGCAAGTGGTCTACAGATTAAAGCGGGCAGAGCCCCCCCATGTTTTTTTTTTCGTTTTTTTTTCCTAGGTGATCTATCTAATACATCGAAGCAATCACAGAGTGAGAGCCAGAATGAAGAAACAAAGAAACATGTCCCAAGTAAAAGATCAGAAGAAACCTCTAGAAATGGAACTAAATGAAACAGAGGTATCCAAGCTTTCAGAGACAGAGTTTAGAACACTGATGATAAGACTATTTAAGGAACTTAGTGAGGACATAAAGAAGGATAGAGAAATCATAAAAAACAACCAGTTAGAATTTAAAAATACAATAAATTAAATGAAGAACACACTAGAAGGAATCACCAGATTAGATGAAGCAGAGGATAAGATCAGCAATTTAGAAGGCAAAATATGAAACTAACAATAATAAAAAAAAAATTTAAAAATTAAAAAAAAAGACAAAATAGCAGAAATCACCCAGTTGGAACAACAAAAAGAAAG